CAAGGTCCCCTCTTACAGAACCGCCCACACGTTTTGGGGGGGGTACCTAGTCACGATCCTGTCCTACTCATGTATGCCATTAGGCAAATTCATTCTTTTCGTGAATATCAATACATGTAGAGGTGGCTTAGCGCCTCGGTAGGGGTAGGCCCTGTTTGATTATTCGGAAGTCCCTGCCTCCACTTCATATTTAACAATTCTAGAGGTTGTACTTCTCATCTGATTCTTGGCCATAGTCTATTTAGATATTTAGTAATTGGAACGGACACCAAATTGAGCGATTTGCATTTATGTGGTTTTGTGGAAAGCATGGCTTGCTGCGCAGAATGCGCGTTACTCTGCCAGTATTCTTCTAGGATGCGATCGCACGAGACCATAAGAAATCTGGGCTCACTATCGGTTGTCAGAAGTCAGATCGTCTGTAATCTGACTTTTTTCCACAAAAGTACGAACCCCAGGAGATGCGAATCGAGACGCGGCCGTAATCCAGGTACTTTTGCAGTTCATGGATGCATGAACTGCGCGGGATTGCGCGAGTTGGCGGCCAGTTCCATAATTCGGCACTGCTCCGCCTCGCTTCACTTCTACCGTTGAAAACAACATTAACAAAAGTACGGAGTTGCTTACAGTCCATGTCTTTTCGAATCCTACCGTGCCTCTAATCTGCACTGCAATTTAGCCCTGACTCTAGCCTGAACATCCGGGTGGAAACCCTGACCAGTCCAAACAAATCGATGGATCAATGAAAATACAATTATGTAAGATTTATAGAACGCAAAAGTATACTACAAACTGTTTTTGGAATATTCGTCAAATATTGATACAGGGGGATCTCCTTTTCTTTTTTCCCTTTTATTTTTTTTTTTTTTCTTTCTTCTTTCCCCGAAAAGGTTTGTCGTCCGACCGACGGTTCGACGACACCATAACTACATCCCAACAACAGCATACACACTTGTTTAGCTTGGTCTTTCCTACGGATTGAGGATCGTAATGAGTTCCACTGATCTGAGGACAGATTCCATCACCGGCCCCCCTCCCCGGGGAGGGGGGGTTGTGTGGCTGGTTATTTTAGATCAACATAATGCTTAATTCAATGTCTTCCAGTTACCATCCGGTTAACCTTTGATCCCCGAACACTATTATCTGGAAAATATACACTGATCACATTCTCAGATCATTCTATCCAAGTATTCATACACAGTAGACGATAACATGGGCAGCGATAAAAAATTATGGGGTGAGATTAAATTAAAATTGAGCATGTGCATTGCTTTCTACTCTCAGGCCCAGCCTCGAGAGTTTTCTCCGGGGAAGCAGGAAGACTGGACCACAAACCAGCAGTCTTTGCTTGCGTATTGGGATTGGCTCATTACATCCCTATAATTTCCCTTGTGGACTGGATCTACATTGGGCATTTGAAGACCCTCTCGCCTCGCATAATAAGTAATAAACATTGCAATTAAAATTAAATCTCGACAGGCACCATGAGAAATATGTATAATAACCTTTTACGGAAGCGGGCCACGAATGGATTAGGCGCCGTACCTGAAGTTGGAAATGAAGTTAGAACGGCTCTATGTAAAGAACCCGTTGGATAAGCTGATGCACTTCCCAAAGTCTATACTAAGACCCTGCTTATGCTCTCAACAGAATATGTTTTGCTTGATCACTTTCGGTTAGCGGATGAACAAATCTATCTCCTGGTCGTGAGTTGCCCGACTGAACTCCTGATAACTGAGCCAACCATAGAGAAAATAAAAGTATTCCCTTTCAGGCTACGCTCAACTGCGTAATAGTCGGAGACATCCGCTCGATGGCATCGGGTCCGAGTATGAGGACAGAACGCGCCATGTAGCCGCGTGACTCCCATCGCTTATCCTTAGTGCCAGTCCTTTTGCTCAACATGGATGAGGCTTAAGTCCCCAAGTTAGTGAATACCATGTATCCATGATTTTGGGTTTTTCAAAGACGCTACGGGAAATTTGCTATAGCCAGTGAAATAGAGCGACAAGAGAAAATGGGGAAGGGAGGATAAGGAACGTCACGCCAAGTAAGCCTAGCATAGCCCAACCAAATCTCTTTAGCATGGTAATCTCCTGAGGCGCAGCCTATCAGGACTGCGTCATTGGGTTCATGAGACATGCCCTCGCGAGCTGAACTACCCAGGATCTTGCGGTACCCAACAGCGAAGCGCTGCAGCACTGGGATCTACATGAGCACCACATGATCTTCTTATTTGTAAAAGAATAGATAAATAGATAAATAGATGAAAGGTTGTTCCCGCTCTTCTCCATCCGACGGTTAGATCTTCTGGTCTATTCGATTCTTTCCTTTTCTCTCTCCCTCTTTCTGAAAGTGGTTTAGCACCAACATAATAATCCCCTTGGATTAAAGAAAAGCTAATTTATCAAATCATGGCCGTGGTAGCTATTGCTGAAGTACTGGGATGTTATCTTTGGCTTCCTTCCATCATTGCCAAGGGCAATCAACCGAGCGTTAGTGTCGGGCTTTACCCTAGCTTCATTGTGATCTCATGTTCCTGAAGACCTGCTTTCACTAGGTACAACTTGAAGAGTCCTCAGGATTGGTCTTGGCATTATGCCTTACCATTCTCTCCTTTCTTTTCTCTTTCTCTCTCTCTCCCTTTTTGGATCCGTTGAATGACCTTTGACCAACCAGTCCCAACATTGCATATGTATTATGGGCATCTTTATTATGGCCATGATCCGTTACATCTAGAAAAGGGAATCATGAAATGAAGAGAAGAAGGGTCCACTATTGAATGAATCTAAGTCAGTTATGGCGGCAATGTAGGTAGAGGGCTTGACCACGAAGAGGCTGAAAAACCCGGGGTCTGAATCCTCTCGGGTAATGCGAGTCGTGACTAGTGCTCTGAGTGTGCACATAGACGAATAGATTCCAAAAAATGATTCCCCACTGTTGAGAGGCTGCTATTGCTCTATGGTATAAGCGAATCAACCGTTGTTTCAGATCAAGCATCAAAGCGCAAGGGTACCTACCACTAGGAAGATATGCGCTTGCTGCGGGCCGGGGCTTTGGAAAGGTTTCCGCATATTCGTTACCCCAAAGGCGTCATATTAAATAGCAAACGGGAAAATGTGTAGAACTCCCCGGGCAGCGCCTTGATTAATTGATTGGTACATTGCGTGGGAAGAAATCGCTTAAGGAGAACAACAGCGCTAGTGAGCATCTTTGTATGAACGGCTTGTGGTCTGTTGTCCGTTCCTGGGGCTCCTTCCGTTAATCTTTCTTCTTTTTTTTCCATTTGTTTATTTTGACTTTGGTTAAATTGATTTTATCTTTGGTTATTCTTTATTTTTTTTTTGTCTTTTATTTTCATTTTATCTTTATTTTTGTTTATTTCTTTTGTTTTACTGATCTTATTTTTTGTTTTCTTTTCTTTTCTTTTTTTTTGGGGGGGGGCCGCTAGATGTACGGTGGGATTTTCTAGAATTCCGTGCTGACGCTCTGCATAATAAAACATAAAACGTCTGCCATCCTCACATTGGATGGCTCTTGGCGACCAAAGGAAAGGTCATTTAAATTTTGATTGACGCTCTCCCACTAATGCAGGCGCTATCAGTATATCACCGGTGATCCAACCCACAGGATGCTACTAGAAGATGATTGGTGATGAATGTGTCACGCGGAATGAACGTGTCGAATGACGGAGGCTAGGGTGCCGAGGGGTGAGCGGACGAGTACTCTCTCTCAACCAGCAAAGGGATGTGGGCCTTTTGCAAGCTAAGGCTGTCGCTGGGGGGGGTAAAAGGTTTCCGGCATTTGCTCGTATGTACTCATATTCCGACGTACTATGTAGCTGAGCGGAGGATCTACATGTTTCTCGTAACTGCGGTCCACTCCAATAACGCCTCACAGTGAGATGAGTAATACTTAGTCTAGAGCTCTCATTCCGCATCTATTGGATTATGAAATTTCCTTTGTGTGTTTCCCGCCAATTATCTATTCTTAAATATTTATTCCGGGTGTATTAGCTTCGGGATGAAGGCGTTCAAATCGTGGATCTATCTGTTCTCTTTATATCCTCCTCGAATCCCATTCTTATTTCGCTGAGCCTAGACAGCTTCAATATGGTGGAGCTGATTATATATAGTGTACTGGGAACAAAGGATATATGAAAACGGAGTTTTCTAACATGTCCCGTAGTTTTAAGACGTAAAGCCAATACAGTTATTAGAGTCGAAAATTAGCTTTTACTTCTTCCCAGGTCACTAGGCACCTCAGCATTATTGCTCTGATGTAGGTGTGGAATGACGGGAATACAGTATGTCTCCAGAAGATATATATGAAAGAGTTCAATCTCTCCAACCCAGAATAGCATCAAATGTCGTTTCTTCCTTTCGATTTCAAAAAGAATGATGAAGTTGTCGACAAAACAAGGTCTTACCGACGGTTTATACCTCTCACAATTAGATGTCAATATCTTACAGAGCGGAATGTTTTTCCTGGCGAATAGTATATGGATTGTCGTTATGATCTGAGACTGGCACTATCTAAGCTATGAATGACCTAGGGTAAGCTGGTCCATACGACCATAGGGCGTGGGGAACAAGACTTAAGCCGGGAGCTCACCGCCTTAGCGTCGCGCCACCGGGGGTGAGAAGCCGAGGGAGGATCCCGTCCGTCGCGTCAACAGTACGAATTCATTGACCTGGCTTGTGATACGGCCACAGTGATATTTCTTTCATCTTTTGTCCTTACTATGGCGTTGAGTCCAGCAAATAAAGGGAGAGATGACTTTATCGCACGCAAGCCTACATCTGATGAATGGGGAAGGGAGAGGGAGGGGGGTCATTTGTTGCTTCGTCTACGTTATATTACCTATCGTTCAACTCTGGTCGTTTTGAAAGATCCTAGGGTTTGCTCTTCCTGCAACAGAGCGATCACAATAGCCGCAACACACAAGTTCTCCGCGAGAATATTTGGTCCATGATATATTCGATGTGCTAAGATATTCATCAGAGATACTTTCCAATGAGCTCCTCGGTCTTGTTCCAGATAATATCGGAAGCACTGTTTCCCTCCAACTTTCCTAGAAGCCCATCGAGTTGCAAAGCTTCCAGCTTGGCGCCAACACAGAAAAGAGACCCTTCCGTTGTCCCGTGGACGGTACGCCCTTGCTTCTGCCCCTCTGTCAAGGCGATACCTTTCCCACCATACTGAGCGCTAGTCATCACATACATAGAACGTTCTCCCGCCTCCTCGGGACTGGATCGCGTCATATCTGACGGGGCACTAGGCCCTCCTGCTGCTCTATCCTCGCTCCACTGATCACCCCAGCTTTTTTTGAAAATCTCAGTCGAGACTAGACCTGGATGATGATGGATGAAGGTAATTCCACTGTTTTCTGGCTGTTCTGCGAGTCGCTTGAGGCTTACAGAGGTCATGGTCGCGCTGTGGTGGGCATAGCTTTGGACACTGAAGTGTCCGGGTTGCTTTAGCTCAAGGTCATCCAGATACAAGTCGGCTGTTTCCACGCCCGTGCCAAGGACATTCACAATTCTGGGGGTATACTCCTCGGTGTCAGACTTAGATGCTGCTCGAAGAAGTGGGAGCAAGCGTCGAATGAAAATCTGACGACTGTAGTATCCCACGGCGGTTGAAAGTTCCAGCCCTTCCGAAGTTTCTAAATGGGTTTGTTAGAACGCGACTGGACTGTTCGCTAGACTGCGGTAGTCGACATACCTTGGCGCCCAAGGAAGGGCAGAAAACCAGCGGAAAGGTAAAGCAGGTCGATGTGTTCCTCACGGCGAAGGATCTCATCCGTGAGGCGCGTTGTCTCTGCCATGAGAGAGATTTGACCCTCCAGGAAGATCAGCTCAGCGGACCTATTTGAAGCATGCAGCTCGCCCAGCACCGGCCGAAATTCTTCCTCGTTTCGACCGATAATATAGGCCTTCAAAGAGTAGCCCTTGTTGACAAACTGCGTCAAGGTTGCGCGACCAATCCCAGAGGTTGCACCAACAAAGACGGCAATTTTGGGAAGGGTAGAACTGGTCAGCTGAGCATTCGACACCCTAACTGCAGCAAGCGAAGTCATGGCGACGTTGTTGAAGTAGACTTTTGAGCAATGGTGTTTATTCGAAGAGTATCTTGGAAGCACCTTGAGGATAATGAAGTCTCGACAATACCGTCATTATCTGAAAAGCCCATTTTATATAAGAATCGTGTACGAAGTGTCAAGAGTGAATTCGTATGTGTATTACAAATCAGACATTGAATGATCGTTCGTGTCATGACAAATTGATAATTACTAGCAGGACAGTAATCTTACAGCCATGCACGGTCGCAAGTTGAAGCCAAATGTCGAATCGGGACTCTTATCCAAATAGTCCCGAGTCCGAAGCGGGAAGTGGGTGTGCCAGTCATCGGACGGAACGACGGACGGACGGACGGACGGACGGAATCGGCGATAAATCGCCACGATGCGTCACTATCTAACGCTCCGCTTTCCACTGTCCGACCAGCGTTCCGACTCGGAAGACGAACAGCAGTCCCTTTAGATCCAGATTCACAGTGCCTAATACTATGGCGCTTAATGCTGTGGTGACTGAACGCCCAGCGGTACGTGTGTCACCGAACCTTGGCATTTGTGCCAATATGGATGGGGACGCCAACTAACGTACAGAGACAGTGCGACTTTTGTCATTCGAGGAAGGTTCGTCAAGCACAACATGCGATGCCCTAAGAGTCCAGATTTATGCATAAAACATTCTCGATGTCCACTCTTGTATCATCGGATCATAGTGATTGACATCGAAGTATCCCAGATCAAATGCGATCGGCAGTTCCCATGTGCCAATTGCATCGAGGCCCTAGTAGATTGCCGCAGGGATCGACCCAAGAAACGTAGGCGCACGAAAGGAGCTCGGTAAGAACTGCAGTCCTTTTGATACATAACTACGCTCATGTTGTGAAGGGTGACCACCTTATCTGAAAGGCTTGCGGCGCTTGAGTCATCAGTTGCCGGTTTTTCGTCTCACGATGGCCTGACTCGTCATGCAGTAACAATTGAGTTACCAGAGCAGAGGACTATTACGAACGACACCAGCGGCGTTTCTCCTACCAGGCAACAAAATAATGAAAGGATTGAGAGGCGATCGTCGAATCCATTGGATACTAACGTCAGAGACGGCTTGACTCAGCAAACCTCAGAGGGTACTCGATTTCTGCAATGCGAGCTTGAGTCAAACCCATTGCTCGGAACAAACAAATCCAGACTGATGAGGGAGGCAATTAGCTTTGTCAGTCGGATCTCCAATACATCGAACCCATACTTTGCGACCGATGCTTTTGACCCGTCTGAAAAAAGTGGCGATCTTGAGTCAAAGGCGTTTCCACCAGAGCTGTTATATATGATGACTATGGGTGAGTCTGGGATATCACATAGTGGCTGATTTCGCTGATTGAATGCCCCAGATACTGAGCCAAATACCATGAAACAGTCATTTTGGCCGGACCACGTCTCGTTTGAGACGTTGGAAAGAATGTGCTTGTCGCTGATGGAAGGGAAAGAGGACGAACGTACACTTACTTGTTACCGTGTCTGCGTGTATATGAAAGCTGCCGCGTTGTTCTGCCGACTACCAAAGAAAGATCGGAGTGTGCCACTTCGAGAGCACCTGGAAAGAAGTAAAAAGCAATATGAACACGAGGTATACAAAGCGCTTTCTGAGATTGACTACCTGGCACCGCCAAGTTTGGTTCTCTTGCAAGCATTGCTATCTGGTGTAAGTTGGACTCGCTTTTTCCCCGTTTGACTATATTGACTTCTTTACTGATTTACTCGCGACCAGGCACTCTTTATGCAGAATCAAGGTGACATGTCCCGAAGCTGGACATTGGCAGCTTTCGCATCTAGAACCTTGGTGTCTCTTAATTATCACTCTATTGACTCAATTACGCTCTTTGACGAAACGAAGAATGACATATATGGATCGTTGTATACGTGCTACTATCTCGACAAAATGCTCAGCGTGCTCCTTCTCAGACCACCCTCACTTCCAAAGCTGAAGGTCAAGCCGGCAAACTTGGTTCGTTTGGACCCTCGGCTTCCTCTCAGCGCCAGTGTCAAAATCATGGTTGAGTTTGCACAAATCCAAGAAGGTGTGCTCGATATACTCAACCAAACCAATAAGATTGATCAAGTCACTGTTATTACGAGGCTTATACGGGACATGCATGAAATATATGCATTGATGAAGAAGGTACGCAATCCAAGTATTCGCTCAATATGAGTCAAGAATAACAGATTTTGCTAACTTGTGCTATCAGCACCAAAATCAATTACCTTTCCGAGGAACAACTTATGAATGGATTGCCATCGAGTTTGGCTATTACGCACTGCTCGCTAGTGTGTTGCACTTGAACCAACGTATTGTCCAAGATCGATCAACACGGGAAGATTGCCTGCGGGCTTCTCGACAAGCGCTCATACGGCTGAGAAAAATTCAGGACGAGATTTACATGGATGCGAACTTCCTTGATCAGTATCCATACTGCCTCACTTGGTCAGTCGTTCTTTGTATGATAATTAATATTTCGCTTCTAACTTCATCAGGACACTATTGTTCTACCCACTGAGTCCATTTTTTGTCCTCTTCTGCAACGTTGTATATTCGGCGAACCTGGATGATTATGCATTTATGGCGGAAGTCACCAAAGGGGTTTCACGCTTTGTGGAAACACATCCCGCCATTGCTGAGATCCACAAGCTTTTCTCGGCTTTCCTAGGAATTGTCAAGCCTCTGATCCATAATCGCCCTAACCCTCCGCTCTCTCAAGCCATTCCAGATGCTGCAACGCAAGGCGATGAACACACAATTATAACCAGCATGGTGACTCAGTATCCTCCAGGAACCATCGACAATTCCCTTAGCTCAAACCTTACCCAAGAAGGTAGAAGTGATTTACCAGATCAAGGTATTGTCAGTCAGGACGGACAGATTTCTCCAGATGATGAAGTCTTGTGGGACCTGATTGATTATCAACCATGGCTAGGTTGGATGAGATCGGATGCCTTGGCGGAAAACCCCACTTCCAATTAGCTGTTATAGCCATATCGTGTAATGCATAATCTAAATAATCTTGCAAATCACTATTCCAGAGCATAAAGAACCCGGACGGACGGACGGACGGAGATGTCAAAGGACAGACCGGAGGTGAAACGCCGTGGGGTTCAAGTCACTGTGGGCAAAGAGAACTATTGTGTAGTATTGGACTGTCAAAGCAGTTTTTTAGAATTACTGTAAGTCAAGGTATCTCAAAAGGAATTGAAGGAAGAAGTTGAGGACATCACAGGTATTTACTATTGATGTAGGGAATAGACTTTCAGTACAGATACTCAAGAAACTTGTACCATCCAGTATTTCGGACTGCGAGCTGGATATATCTTCCGGATCCCGTCCCGTCCATTAACATCAGGATTCTTTGCGGATTACAAACCAACTCTTGGCGCTGGACAACGGCTCGGTGTTAATAGAGCGCGAGCAAGAATCGAGATAGATTTATTATTAATCCAGGCGGTATATAAGTGACACACTATACGTTCTCTCTCACGGCAAACTGAAACGCTTGGTTGATCAATCCTACAACTCAAAATCGATACAACATGCTTGTCCTCATCGCTGGTATCACCGGGTTTGTTGGTATCCCATGTGCCAGGTCCGCATTTGCCCGTGGCCACAAAGTTCGGGGCCTGGCTCGCAATATCAACAACGTCCCGGAAGATGTTCGGAACCAGCTTGAAGGCTTCGAGACCTTGTCGAGCCCTTATGACATCGCTGCCATGGACCGGGCCACGAAAGGTGTTGATGCCATTATCTGTTCCTTTGCTGCCATTCCTGAAATGTTCATGGAATCGCAATTGTTGCTCCTCAGGGCAGCCGAGCGAGCTGGAGTGAAGGTAAGTAGCACCTAGCCTCAACTTCTAAACAGCTGGCTAAGTTAGTCTGGAGATCTTCCATGCGACCTCATGGAACTACGACTGGACGCTTTCTCCTGGTTCACACGAGCTTTACGATGACATGCGTGGCTTCGCCCACCATGTGGCGGTCAGCTCGACCATCAAGCCTATCTATATGTTTACCGGTGCAATCGCGGAGTACTACTTCAAGCGAAGCCCATATGACTGGGATCCGGACACCAAGACATTCAACTTCCACGGGCCTTCTACATTCCCCACTCGATATACCACCGCGGAAGACATCGGCAACTATGTGCTTGAGGCTATCACGGCCCCAGATGCGGCTGATGGAGGCTTTATCCGTGTCCAGAGCTTCGAAGCCTCCCCCGAAGACATCGTCAAAGCATACAATACTGCGAGAGAAGGTCGCACCACTGCCAAGCTTAACTGCTTAGGCTCAGTGGAGGACGCAGAGAATAAGCTGAATGAGGGAAGAACTAAAAATGGGAAGAGCGGTTGGTATAACTTCATTCGGTATATCTATCAATATCATATCCCGGCCCGGTCTTGGGATTATGAGCCGGTGGATGTTGCGCGCTTCCCCAACGTCAAGCAGACTAGCTTGGAGGAATTCTTCCGGCACAACCCTGACGTATAGGTGAAGTGTATCGAAGCGAGCCCGCTTGTTAGCGCCTGGACAGATCGTGTTGAATATGGAAATGTAACTGTGATATATTTTCCAAGTATTTTACAAACTAGTAGAAAAGCTCACGAATATAATTTGTATTCTAGCTATTTGAACATATTGAACTATTTATATCACGTACAGACCGTGGAGTGTACCAAGGTTCGAACCCCCGGCTTGTTACTGATGCTGGTGATTTGGCCAATACATTAGTAATTTTGACACGCGCTCGACACAGCCCTAGCACTGGCAGGAAGTCGGTGACAGGTTACGGTTTTCGCTGACAGCCAGGCTGCTATTTAAGCTGTGTAGAATAGGCTGTCTGGTAGCCGCGGCCAACAGAGAGATATGCCAATGAATTAAAAAATACAATGGTTCATGTAGTGGGAGGCTGATGGAATGGACTAACTAATACACCCACGCCTGAAGATACTGAATTCATAAGTTCTGGATCTCTATACTGATCTCTCTAAACTACACATATCGATTATGGCTTAAATAGGGATATAGAGGATTAGATTACACCACTTTCTCTATAAGATCAAGGTAGTTAATCTCAATTGTTGTTAATATATACCGTGGTCTTAGATGCTTCTAGGTATATTTTAATTTAATATCAGTGTTGTAGGGAGCCACGGAGAAAGATATAGAATGGAAGTATAGAGAAGCTGGGCTCTTGAGAGTGAGTGTACACACGTGTATAGAGTTCTTAAATCTATATTGTTGGATTTATATATAAAACAGGGCTGGTAGGAGGATTCTGGTTTTAGTTTTGATTTTAAGCTTTTTACATATCATCTTTCCGATGTATATATGGGTTTGTGCGATTTAGTCGACGAATCGATTGGATTAACGATCAAACATGAGATCGTGGCCAGCACATACATGACGCTTCCTTTCCTTTTCCACTGTCGGATGGAACGACGGGAGGACGGACGGAAAGCGGAGTGTCGGCTTTTCAGCTCATTCCGGAAGTCGTGGAGAATGGCAAGCTTAATAATGATAGAACTTCAGCTATTGCAGACTGCGAATCACGACGAGCTTAAAAGGAATAGATCATGCGATGGCTGGCACATCATCCCTATTCCCCTGATCATACCGGCATCCTTGTGAGGTATTTCTATTCTTTTCATTCTACTACTACCTGAAAGACCAAAACCAAAAGAGCTACCTCGCTCTAGACTCACCATGTCTAACTCATCTCTGGTCCATTACACGACCGTCACCCGCGACATTGACGCGCCTATCGGCGAAGTCTGGGGCCTTGTGGCAGGTTTCGGCGCTGAAAAGGCATGGTACCCAGGCGCCAAATCTGTATCTCTTGAGGGGTTCGGACTCGGCAGCGTCCGCACCTTCAATTATGTCTACCCCGCCGGCAAGAACAAAGGCCAGGAATATACATTCTCCGAGGAGCTTACAGAGTACGATACTTCCAAGCACTCCATGACTTTTCAAGTCCGAAGGCCCGATTACCCTGATATGATCGCCTTCGGAACAACTGTCCTAGACTCACTCGGGCCTAATAAGACCCGTTTTCGCTGGATTGCAGAGGGTTCGCCCTTGTCGGATGAATTTATGGCGGTTTTGCGTGAGGATCTCAATGAACGGTTCGATGGGCTTATTATTGCCATTGCCAATCAGCTAGTCTGAGACTCGTGATATTGATACTCGAAAAGGAGAGACCAAGACTAAATTTGTTTCGATCGATTCAGGGGAGGCTATATCCTTATGTAAAATAGTTTGTACCTAGTCTAGAGCAATACCTAAGTATCTTCGACAGAAACTGCTCAGCTCACAAGTTGATATCCTCAAAACGAAAATAGTTCATGAAAATAAAAAGATGGGGAGAGCTTAAACCCCATAATTTTACCTACAAAGTGGGCATGCCATCTACATATGGATACATCTAAATGATATAAGATAAGGCTGACCATGAGCTCTCCATTCACGCTTGGCTTCGATCCACTTAATAGTCCCCCTCATCCCGGATGAGGCGATTGGGAGACGTCATATTTTCCAGAAGACCCTTGGGACTGTCCCATGCAAGGAACAACTCCCCACTAGCCACACTCCGAGTAATCACATCCTGGGCATAGGGAAACATCTCTTGCTCATATGCGATAACAGCTTCTTGGGTAATACCCAGATCCTGGATCTTATGAGCCAAAACCAACGCATTGCGCATGCCACAGTTGACTCCATCTCCGACAAATGGTGTGGTGACATGCCCCGCATCTCCAACCAAAGTCACCCCCGGTGATGTTTGCCAATTCAGGTGCTCGACCGGGAAGTAATACAAAGGCCAAGTCCGGAAGGGTCCAGTGGAATTTCGAATGATCTCGTGGACAACTTCCGTAAAGCCCCCGAAGTATTCCTCCCGAAGAAGGAAGTTCTTGACGGAATCTTCGTCCGCTAGGTCAAGCTCACCCTCAGATGGGAAGTCTGCAGGTCCCTTCCATCCAAAGTCCATTCGGTAGTGGCCATCACCTTGTCGTTGGATCCAGATCTTCTTGCCTCTTCCACAGAAGATCATGGGTCCCTGGCCTGCACGCTGCTCGAGGGTGAGGTGATAGGGATTAGAGGGTCGAATAAATAACGTGAGGAATAGAATACCACAGTATTTGGGTTCTGCTTCTGTCACCTGAGAGTGGTTAACAGCAGAACGTTTAACCATGCAGGATTGAGAATAGCTCACCAGGTGTCGGATCTTGCTGCGCATTCCGTCCGCCCCGACAACAAGTTTGAACCCTGAGGCCGTAGTGCCATCCTCAAACTCGAGAACAACATCGCCGTTTTCATTGCGAAAAGAGCTTTTGACTGGAGTTGACCAGCGGACATTCTCCTTTGGGATTGAGGAAAGCATGACTTGGCGTAACTGCGTGCGATCAATCTCAGGCGAGTCGCGTCCTTCGCCGAACGTAACGACCTTGTTGCCTTTATGATCAAACAACGAGTGAACTGTGGCGTAACCTCCTCGCGCATACTTCTTGAATTCTTCAAAGCACCCTCCTTCTTTGAGAACGATTTGGCCGCTACTGCGATGAATGTCTAAGCATCCGCCTCGAGGGGGAGTATCCTGTGCACTGCGTTCATAGACAACGTAGTCGATGCCTTGCTGCTCGAACATGGCGGCAAGAGCAAGGCCACAAGGGCCACCGCCCACGATTGCAATATCGGGTGCCATCATATAGCTTTATTGGCTTTGAGGATGAAGTTTGGAAGTGCAAATCTGAAATGCAGGGAACAAGTAAGATAACCACGGATACTCCAGGCGAAGGTAGAGAAGTAACTATTTTGTTTGGTGCGCCGAGTCAACCTGTACAACTATGACTCCCATGACTTCAAATAAGACGACAGTACTGCATTTCATTGGGACTAGAACTGCTGACTCGGTTGACTCGGATGGGCGATGTGGACGCATGTCTCAACACCCGGCGCCGATGGACACGGGGTTTGGGGTTAATAGGGCAGTCTCCCGCATACAGCCTGAAAGCGTAATACCCAAAATCCGGGAAATTGACACAAACCCCGAATCTTCGCTGATCTTCCCTATTTTAGGGGCGGTCATGAGTCCGCAATTACTATCTGTAATTTCGTCTCCGGAGCAGGTGGACGATGTACTATTGCAATTAGTTATACGTTACAATTGTCCAGAACCCGATCGGATTCTCGGCATATCACCCCTAAGAAACTCGGAGATAGCTGTCTGTTGAGAATTTGAGGAGCTAGACTAGTATAGAAGCGGATGCCCTTGACATTTCTTCTGGGACTATCAACGCTCAAGTGCGCAAAGACGACGTACTATCTTCTACTAGAATTCGCGTGAAAAGACAAGGAAAGAGTTGAGGCCGATGGATAAGCCCACACCTAACGAGCAACCGCCGCAGGATTCTGAGAATGGCATTCCGGGCCAGGAAAAATCCGAAAACTCGCCATTACAATGGCCCAAATCCAAACGAGTCGGGCACGTTATCCTCGTCAGTGTCCTGACACTAGTAATGTACCTCTTGAGAACCATTCTTTCTCATCTTCACCTTCTGAGCCAATGAACAAACAGGAACCTTTCGTCGACCATCTTTTCACCCGGAGCTAGGTTCTTCGCAGAGGAGTACGAGATTACCAACCCCAGCCTACAGAGCCTGGTAGTCAGCATTTATATGTTAGGGCTTGTGTGTGGCCCGCTTGCTGTTGCGCCGTTGTCGGAGCTTTATGGCCGCCTCATTCCGTATCATGTATCCAACCTCATATTCTTCGGTTTTACAATAGGTTGTGCCAAGTCAACTAGCACGGGGATGTTTCTCGCATTCAGGTTCCTAGCAGGATGTGCAGGCTCAGCACCGTTGACAATCGGTGGTGGCACTATTGCAGACGTTATTCCAAAGGAGCAACGAGGCGTGGCAATGGGTATGTTCTCGTTGGGGCCGACACTTGGACCGTCGCTAGGGCCTATAATAGGCGGCTTTGTGGCACAATACAAGGGGTGGAGATGGACATTCTGGGTGCTCTTGATTTTGGTACGTACGAATATCCAAAGGACACAGGGTCGCACACAGATTCATTGCACTGACTTGTCTATTGGTAGCACGGATCCGTTTCGTTGGCGTGCCTGGTCTTCATGCGAGAGACCTTCACAAAAGCCCCTCAGGCTGGCCAGGAGCCTGCCTCTGAACAGAAAAAGATAACTACGAAATCGCTGCCAACCCACGTCTTCCTACGCGCGTTACTGACCCCGATAAAGCTCCTCATCTTCCACCCGGCAGTACTCCTGACCTCACTCTCGGTTGCATACGCCTTCGGCCTGTCTTTTCTGCTTTTTACAACATTTCCAACCATTTTCCAACAGCAATATGGCTTCTCGCTTGGGATCTCAGGTCTCTGCTACCTCGGCATGGGCTCAGGGATGTTAATTGGCGTAGCCATATTCAGTCTGACGAGCGATAAGTTGCAAGAGTGGCACCGTCGGCGCAACTTCCACGAGCCAGAAAACAGACTGGCGCTTATGACCGTATTCTGCCCTGTGATACCAGTTGGCTATTTTTGGTACGGATGGTCTGCAGATAAAGGAACGCATTGGATTGTCCCGATTATCGGCACCTCGTTAATCGGACTGGGTACTTTATTCACCTTAGTGAGTGTTTCTCACCTTTCTTGATAAATTCTATTCGAATACAACTGACTTCATCGGATCTAGATGCCAGTGCAGCTCTATCTCATCGACGCCTGCGGGCCTAAGAAGGCTGCCTCTGCTCTAGCGGCAAATACGATATTACGTTCCATTGCAGCAGGTTTGTTACCTCTTGCTGGAACACCATTATATGATAAACTTGGTTTGGGATGGGGAAACAGTTTACTTGGGTTTTTGGCTATCCTGTTCATACCTGTTCCTTGGCTGCTTTATCGGTACGGAAGACAGTTACGTGAGTGGTCTGAGTCGAAGCACGGTGACTTGTAGACAAAAGTTGAAACAACATCATATCTAGCGAAATGTATAAAGTATTTTCCTGTTTATCACCACATGCTGACCAGCTTCACGGGTATAGTCTCGGGGCTTTGAGAATTATAAAATTAATTATCTACCATACAGATATGGAAGGAAACAAAGCCATGGTGCCATAGCTAAATACTATAATCGGACTAACTTATATTTTTATTTGTAAAGATAAAGTGAGGAAACCATCAGCAAAACACTAAATACTCGGGTGAACTGAACCTATACAGAAAATCAGGTAAGCGATGTAAGGTACCGAGTAGAAATTGATACTCTAAAAGAGAGATGAGGCACAACACATTCCTAATTGGCACATCGCCATTAGAAGTTGTCCGATATCTGCTACGGACAGAACGAGGAAATATGTACAGCTCATATTGGTCGTTCAAAGTCACTCTCTAACGCCCTCTGGGTACAACCAATTCCCTCATGCTAACAAGTTGGTTAAACACCACAACACGGCCGACCAAACTCCCCCATAATTTCGGGTCTTTTCGCGATCAATGCGCGGGAAAGCCAATCATCCACGACAGTGCCCGGTTTAGCTGCACACCTCGTCTTCTTCACCGGTTAAACTGGCTTGGGCTATGTAATATAGCGCAGCATGAAGATGACTGAACAGATCCCGTATTTTGTGTATTGTATGTAATATGACCGGAGTTTGGAAACGGACCCACCGACGGCAGATCTGATACCAATTCAGGATGCAGGGTTGGCATCGGGTTTTGGGAAGCAGCCGAGATGTCCGAGCCGTGGTGAAGGCCTTCTTGGCACTCATGGAGACTGTATATTTGGAAACAAGAAGAGAAGACAGAACTAGGCAAGACCAAGCCCTTTGTCGAAAGAGATTCCATCTTTCGTTATTCCACCACTTCACTGCTAATCATCTGAAAGACCCTTTGCCACCGCAGAAAAAGCACCACCGACGACAAAATGGGTGACTGCTGCTTAAAAGGCTTCCGCTGGAATGGCAAGCCTGCTGGACTAGAATCCACCCTGGCTGGCATGAGTTGCTACGCGGTAGGAACAAATTCCAGCGTCGCAATCCTGCTGCTTCACGATCTCTTTGGCTGGACCTTTCCCAACACGCGACTCCTAGCCGACCATCTGGCGGAGGAGGTTGGCTGTACAGTCTATGTACCTGACTTGTAAGTTGCGACGTTCGCGAGATTCTTTCATCATGAACTGCACCTCATGCAAATTTGTTGAGACCAGGTTTGGAGGTGAGCACCTTCCACTCGACGTCCTTCTCGACGAAAGCAGATGGGGCGAGCTCGACATCCCCGGTTTCATGAGCCGTAATACCAAGGCTATCAGAGAGCCGGATATCTTCAACTGCGCCAAGGCTCTGCGAACGGAGCATGAGTACTCTTCCATCGGCGCGATTGGATTCTGTTTCGGTGGCTGGGCAGTTTTCCGTTTGGGGGCAAAGGATGTTCGGCTTGTCGACTGCATCTCTACCGCACACCCCACATTCCTGGAGCAGAAGGAGATCAGTGATATCGGGGTCCCCGTTCAGATCATGGCGCCTGAACATGATCCACAGTTTACTGAGGAGTTGAAAGCTTTCAGTAATACGACTATCCCAAAGCTCGGTGTGCCCTATGACTACCAGTATTTTCCCTCCCTAACGCATGGATTTGCGACACGCGGGAATCCAAACGATAAGGATGAGGTCGCGGGCATGGAAAGGGCGAAAAATGCGGCGGTTCTCTGGTTCCGCCAGTGGTTGCACAAGAGGAGTATAGCGAATTGAATGTAGTGATGTATCTGTATCAGGGAGCAATCCTAGCAAACCAATAAGTGCTTTGAGCGAACAAAACTATTCATCTATAATAGCAGACTATTTGATGAAGTATGTCATTGTTGGGTATATTGTAAGAACAGCTGTTCGTAGCTTGCATCATACAGGGCCTGCGACACACCGTCGACGTCGAAGGTAGCTATATCTTCGAACTGAAACTGTGGCTCGAAGGAAGTCAGACCAAACTCGTCCAGTTCACTGTCACCATTCCATGTTGACACATCATTCTCTTGGGAGCCTAGGCTGCATGGAGGTAGATTCTCAGTCGATTTATTGGAAGTGTTTTCTAGGAACCGTGATTCACTTGACTTGGAAGCCGCCTGGTACTGGAATATTGTTGGTGGTGAAAGCCCCCAGGACATGGCAGCTCCTGCTCTCTCACTAGAGACAAAGGACAGTAACATGCGGTCATGGAAATTCCTAGCTTGCTGCATCATGTCTCTCATGGATTCTTGCAGCCGACGGTGTCCCGATTCAATGCCGAGCGTAGTAAATGATTCATAGGTCTGCTCGATAAGGGGCCATGCACCTCTCACGAAATGTAGGTCATCACAGACTAGAATTTCAGCAAGGCAAGTTGCAAGTGCTTGCCAGGGGAAGAAAAGTGGTGCAATCCACCGCCATGACTGTGTCTTAACGCTGCTATATACCCGACATCTCGCATCCAGGGCCTCTACAGCTAGCCTGAAGATGTTGACGTTGGTGGCTTGAGAATCGCCTGAGGATGGGCTATTCTCCACCGGGCGTACCGCAAGTACTTGTAGGTAAAGCCCGATTGAGTGCGAAAGCTCCTTAGCGTAGTGGTCTAAGTCATTCTGGTCCGGTTGACATTCAACAAATAGCTCGTCTGTGCGCGTCTTGAATACCATTGTCAGCTGTTGTCGCTGTTCAATAGATTTTGTGCAAGGCGTGGCAAAGTTCGGAATGGTCAATTGTCGAGCTGTCTCTTGAGCGTAAGAAAGAACATGAAACAAAGCAGTCTCTGAGACCTTCTTGCGTGAGGAACTCTGTATTTCCAAATTTGTGCTAAACTCGTCATTGTCCATATCACGAAATGAGTCGGACCTGAGCCAGTTGGATTGAATCATTGGTTCTGAAGCACTGCTCAAGGATGCCTGGATATCTAGTAATCCAATTGCATGCCACAGTCGTCTGCGCATTTCATTTTCGAACGGTTGGACCGGAGGGGGGGGGCTGGAATCATGGAGTGAAAGAGCTTGGGCAATACGTAAGGCTATTGCCAGCATCGTCCAGAAGCGTCGGGTGCGGTCATGACATCTCATCGCTATCTGTACCCATTTAGCAAGCAGTGCAACCCGGACCACGTCCCTTGCACTTACTAAAGATATCACAAAGGCTTGAAGTACAGTTAAGTCATCCGTCAATATGTAGTCCGCTCGTTCGAGAGCAGCATGCGACTCCTTTTGATATTTTGAAATCAGAGAGGCTTTATCCATTCCAAAGCAGGAGAGACATGTATCTTGGTTGACCGTACAGCTGGCAGCGTAGTATATTGCAGATGCAAGTGCTGCAGGCGCCGGATGCCAAGGCTCGTAGTTCAGGTAGCATTCTCCTTCCAACAGATGCGCCTGAATGGATGGACGATGCAGAATATTCACTAAAGGATCGACCTGTGTTAGATAGATATACAATAGTTGCTGCCGCTCTCCACAACTATTCAAACCTCCCCACCCCGCAGATATCGTTTCATCCGGTACTAGTCGAGCATATTGATTAACCAGACTGGTGAGGTCACCGCGTTCGCGAGTCTGGCACGCCGCCCCTTTTATCCCTTGCGATTCCTGCACTGGCGTTATAGCACATGCTAGGACATGAGATCGAGTAGGATGAGCTTACTAATCTATCATTAAAGCTGCGACTGTTTCTTGGGGTACTCATGTCGAGCTCGCTAGTACGGTAAGAGACGTCTTGAGTGGATAGTACATTAGGTGTTTGTGCGGAAGATGCCAAAGACGGCTCTCCTGGTAAAAATTCAAGCAAGCCAGCCGGCGTACTATCATGGCTGTCCGTCTGGTCGAAAGGGGCCTGTGATGGCCAATTCACGGATCTTCGAGATCGACCGCGAGGACGCCGTTTTCTCTCCACCGGAATGCAAAGGATCCCCGAGTTCCGGCAGTTGGTACACGGTATAAGCCGGTCGCATTTCACTTTCCGCTTGGTGCACCCCTCGCAGCTCAATCTTGCCATTGGAAGGATTTGTGTCCGCGATACTTTTCGGATAGAGTCTGGGAAGGGTACAATTCACGAAGTGGGGATTTTTGGTAGCCAAAGCAAGAAGGCGGGGGGGAAAAGAAGGAAAAGATAAGTAGCTCCGAAGAGTACCTGGTAGAAAACGATATAGCATCTACGGCATGGGCGGTTTCGGATACTATTTAAGATACTAAACCTGAGCGGATTAAAATCCCGGCAAAAGCCGAGCCGAATCCGCTCCGAATTTTAGGGTTAGGAAATTGGACGATCCTCCCGATTTGTATGATTGTCAGAACGTCTGCCTTTTTTGGCATGTCATGTATTTTTGAAGGCATTCAATACACTAAAAAAAAATATATATATATACATTTGGGGGGGGGAATCCAAATAAATAAAAAAAATAAATACGCTGGTAATTAGGATATTAAGGAATTTTATAAACTTAGCATGCCGGAGTCAGAGTACTTTGCTAGGAGCTGTACATGTACAAATCATAGCAGTAGCAGTAGTGTAGGTAGCCGGAGAACCTAATGTACATACCTAAGCTTAGGGAGCCCTCGTACCTAAACTGAGGAGCCACAGCACCTAGAGATGAGAATCTCAAAGTGGTCAATAAATAGATGTAATTAGCCTATAGAAGAGTGCAAATGCTGTGGGTCAACTTTGGTACCCCGCGCCGGGTTTTTTCCCCCCGCTTATCAACGGCACTTTAATTAATCAAGGTGCGTAAATATATGTAGGTACAGGGTTCATCCCCCCTGCTGCAGTTAGATTCCTTGTCTGCTGAACTGACATGCTTGTCTAGTATCCACTGTTCGCGGCCGAACTACTACTCACTGTGAAGATGTCGGCATCCAATGCACGGGAGCTTCTCCTGGTCTTCCTTCCCTTGCCAGAGCCAAAACAAGCAATTGACTCGATTCGCCAGCAGTTTCCTACTCTAGAAGTGGTCTTCCTCGAGGTCCCCCCTGGTACCTCTCAAGTCACCAATGATGTTATTCCTTCTGGTTAGAACAGGTCCTCTGCAGCCTCCAGTCATAATTGCAACTAACGGGAAGAGTCAGACTTACTTGAGAGGGCAACCATTATGACCACAGCTTTTGGCATTGTGCCGCATCCCAATCAAACACCCCAGTAGGCGAAGGAAATCTAAGTGAAATCATTGACAGACACCTGCTGACGATTTATGTCTAGGCTGAAGTATTTGCACTCTTTCTCGGCGGGAGTGGATCATCTGATTGGCCATCCGATCTTTCGCGACACCAACATCCGAATGTCCACAAGCTCGGGGATCCACGGACCGCCGATCGCAGAATGGGTGGTTATGAATTGGCTTGTATACTCCAGGATGTATACAAAAATATTAGAGGCCAGGAGTCAGCACCGCTGGTTGACATTCAAGGAAGTGAGACAATGGGAGGTTGATGACCATGTGGGCCAAACTGTCGGCATTCTAGGGTATGGGAGTATTGGCCGCCAAAGTAAGTCTTAGGAGACAATATTATCTTCTTCTTCGCTACAACAACACATGATATCTATTTTTCCAGTTCAGAGGCTAATTAATATCTATTAGTTGCTCGCGCTGCATCTGGTCTGGGTATGAGAGTCGTGGTATACACAGCACAGCCAAGGCTGACGGCAGAGTCGCGAAGGGATACTGGATTTATAATCCCAGGGACCGGAGATCCAGATGGCCTCATACCTGAAGCCTGGTATAGCGGGCGCGACAAATCATCCCTTCATGCTTTCCTGGCTCAGGGTTTAGACCACCTGGTGGTTAGTCTTCCTTTGAACGCGGCCACCACCAACCTTATAGGTAAAGAGGAGTTGGACATCTTTTCCGCACACTGCAAGTCTAGTCGGAAGCCCTTTTTAACGAACATATCGCGAGGCAAAGTAATTGACCAAGATGCCCTGCTATCGGCACTGCAGTCAGAGGTGGTGGGAGGTGCTGCTTTGGATGTGACTGATCCTGAGCCTCTGCCAGTGGAACACCCACTCTGGGAGCAGCCAAATGTGTACATCGGTTCACATATGAGTGCATTTGGGAAGCGGTACTGGGAACGCTCACTAGAGATTCTACGCCTCAATTTGACTCGTATACACGAAGGAAAGGAGTTGATCAACGAGTATCATAGGTGATGGTTTAGCAATTGAACCAGTGAGATATCTGCTCTACAAGGAGGGTCCATGAAGCAGAAGCGGATGAAGACCCTAAGCTTGTCTTCTACTGTGCCCCTATAGATTCATTAAAAAGGGAAGAAAATCGAACAAAGGCTTTACTCCCTCAAGCCTGCTAGTAACGATATATGTCGATCTGGACGGATGAGGGCCGGGCAGCCTCCTTCGCCAATGTCAAACTTCTGTTATGGAAGCCCAGATTGTGGGTACGATAAGATGAATTATCGGCAAATAGCCGTCTATGTATTTGTGCCTCTAGTGACATCGCTGGCAGAATCAGCCTATGAAATTTGTTCAAGTAGCACTTCTGCACGGACATATTAGATCAGCGGTGAACAAGCTCCGAGGAGATAGATGAACCTTTACCAAGAATGCATTAGTAAAGGCTCAACCCTATCCCCAGTCTTGGCACCGAGATAGAGTTCACCATCGGCAACAAGAACCACATGATGTCATGTTTGAATCATAATAACAAGGAGGAAACAAAGCACCGGTATAAACATGCGTTCATATTACGGCAGATTTATTAGTGCCATTCGGTAATTCGTAGCCAAGGGGGAAATGGTATAATAGAGCCGCTTTGTGACCCCTGTTCTTCCGCGGTGGCTTTGTTTTCAATCCTTTTATTGTACTCCGTACCACGGCTAAATACCTTATTTCCTCAAATTGTGTCCCAGAATAGCCATGTCGGCTACGACCCATTCCGGTGCATCTTATCTAGATATACTTAATGAGCCAGACTGGACCCGGACGCATAGTCATCGCGTCGGGACCCGAAATCGCGATGCGCGGTATATCGGGCTCACCCATGATGGGGATGAGATACCGTATGACCTCGAGGAGGTTGCTGAGGAGAAGCTGAACGAGCTTCGGAAGAAGGTGAAGAAGGGGGAGTTGGTTACTGTTCGAGATATCATGACGAAGCAGATCGTGAGTATTCCTTGGGTAATCTAATGGGCCAGCAAAGAATAAGGCTTATCGTGGTGCCAGGACTTTCATTTACGGAGACCAGACGTGCATCCGAAGTTCTGGAGATATGTACTCCACACGACTGAGAGTTTTATAAAACAGGAGCAACCGTGGCCTGCGAATCTGGCAAAGAAAGAGGAGGAAGAGAAAAGGAAGGCAAAGGCAGAGGTAGAAGAGCAAGGTCGAGGGAAGAAAGGTGATGCTAAAGAGCAGTCAAAGGATCAAGAGGAGGGTGCAAAAAAGGACGTTAAGCGGGAGATGTCATTTGAGGAAGCGGCTTTGATGAAATGCCTGCAATATGAGCAGAAATACCGATCATCGATGAGGCAAAATGATGGGCGTGGTCGCTCTCCCTTTCACGATGAGGCACTTCCGGAACAGATCGACGAGGCAGACCAGTTTTCCCCAGATAGTTGGGTCCCTCGTAGCAAGGGCTTGAAGCGTCTCACGGGAAAGCATCCGATGAATGCAGAAGCTGATCTAACAACTTTGTTCAACGCTGGTCTTATCACACCATCCCCCATCCACTATGTCCGTAATCACGGAGCCGTACCACATTTACTCTGGGAAAATCACAAACTCGATGTAGTTGTCGACAGGCAATTGACCTTTGGCATGGATGAGTTAATAGATCAGTTCACCAGCATCAACATACCTGTTTTCCTTGCCTGCGATGGTAGTCGTCGGAAAGAACTCAACATGATCAAACGCACGCGCGGGTTCAACTTCACCACCGCCGCGGCGGGCTGCTCGTATTGGAAAGGTGTGCTACTTCGCGATGTCCTTCTGGAGGCGGGTGCTACACAGCTGATGGAGAGAGAGCCTGAGAAGTGCTTTTGGGTCCATTATAAGGGTGCCGATCAGTTGGGCGAGGGCGAATATGCAACCTGTGTTCCTCTATCATATGTCATGGATCCCACTAATGATGTGTTATTGGCATATGAGATGAATGACCATCCGATTCCCCCTGACCATGGTTATCCACTGCGGTTAATGCTCCCCGGATGGGTGGGAGCACGATCTATCAAATGGTTGACGAAAGTCTGGGTCACTGAATTCGAAAACGATAGCTATTACCACATATATGATAACCGACAGCTACCCAGCTTCGTCACCGACTCTGAATCTGAAATTGCGAAAATTATGTATCACCATCCTAGCACTCTGTGCACGCAACAGATGCTGAACTCGGTAATTGTGAAGCCATCACAAGGAGAGAAAATCAATTTGGCGGACATGAAGAAAGGTAAAACATATCGTACCGAAGGCTTTGCTTATAACGGAGGCGGGAATGAGATAGACAGGGTGGAGATTAGTTTGAACGGTGGCGATACCTGGCTCTACTGTGTGCGCAAGGTGAGCGTATCTCCCTCAAGACCATTCTTCCATAACTGGCTAAACCCTCCTAGTATCCTGAAGCACCGATGCGACACGGCAAGAAGTTTTGGACCTGGTTGCATTGGCACGTTGACATCGACATAACAAAGCTCGCTCGTGCAGAGAGCATTATTGTACGTGCCTTTGATGAGCATAAGAACACACAACCTCCAAAGCCAGTGTGGAATCTGGAAGGGTAACATAATGCTGATCTAAGGATATTGCCAATAACTATGCTAATCTTCCCGTAGGATGATGAACAACTGCTGGTATCAAGTGATACCAGAGATATACGATGATCCCGCTAACGAAGACGCGTACCTACTATTCAGACATCCCGTTGAGCAAGGGAATGGTACCAACGGCTGGATGAGGGAATCAACCGAGGAACAGATCGAAGAGGTTAGGCGGAAGGCATCCGCTCCTGGGAAACAGTTCACTCGAGATGAGATCGAGAAACACCATACTGAAGACGATTGTTGGATTGTGATAAACGGGAATGTGTATGACGCTACCAGTGTCTTGAGCTGGCACCCTGGCGGGAAAGGACCAATTATGGCCCATGCTGGAGCCGTGCATATGGATACCACCGAGGAGTTTGAAAGTATCCATGATAACTATGCGCAGGAGAAACTGAAAGGTCAGTATCAAACGCGTCAGTCTTCTTTCGGTCTATACTATTTGAATTGCTGAGACAATCGTACAGAGTGCATTATAGGACAAGTTACGGACAAGGCGATGGCCCATATGCAAAAGGATGCTAAACACAAGAAAGAGGAGTTGTCGCACACCGAGGGAGGAGACAGTAAGGCTGCTCTTAATGAGCACATGTAAGTTTCCATCTGCATAACATGATTGTGGCACGATCCTAATCGATAACAAGGTGGAGTCGTGCGAAGCTGGTCAAGACTACACGCCTCTCCCAGGATACCCAGCGATACACATTCGGCCTCTCACACTCGGCTACAAAGCTTGGCCTGGAAACAGGACAGCATATTCAACTCGGCTTCCATTTCAAGGATAGCCTGGTCTTCCGTCCCTATACTCCAGTAAGACCTGTCTTGGATAGCGAAGAGGACGGGACTTTTGACCTCGTTGTCAAGACATATTTCCCAGATCGGGATCAGCCTGGTGGTACCATGAGCAATATTCTTGATTGTCTTCAGGAAGGGGAAGAGGTCGAAGTCAAAGGTCCGTCCGGTGAGATTCGCTATCAAGGCCATGGCCGCTTCGGTATCGATGACAAGACCTATACCTTCGACAAAATTTCTTTGATCCTTGGAGGATCCGGTGTCACACCAGGATATCAGATCATTGCGCGGATCCTAGGAGATGAAACCGATAAAACTAAGCTCAGAGTAATTGACGCTAATAAATCTGAAAACGATATACTGATGAAAGGAGAGCTGGAGCAATTATCCAAAAAGCACAGTGCCCAAGTGGAGATTGCCCACGTGCTATCCCATCCTGGAGATGACTGGAATGGTCTCAAAGGACATGTAAACGAGGACATTATCAAGAAACATGCCTTTGAGCCCGATCATCGCAATGTAGCACTTCTCTGTGGGCCGCCAACCATGATCCAAAAAGCAGTCCTTCCCGTTCTACAAGCCTGGGGATATGACGAAGACAAGAACTTGTTCGGTTTCTGAACCCCATCTTAAGGGCCCAGGACAATAAAATACACAGAGGCAAAGAAATAAAAAGCAGTCATTGAATGAAGGGTCGTTCCAGCGGAACATTAGACATGCCAACGGTTGAATGCTAGGAAGCATTCAGGAAGTATGCTGCTATAGATTGTACAAATAAAATGGGGGTCATTTCTACCCACTATAGAACTAATCTACGAAAGTGCGCCGCCTATTCGCAGACGATCCTAACCTCGCACCGTTAATAGCACAGCCACTTCATTAGCTTCCTAGCTCGGAGAAACTAAATAATTTGACTAATGATGATTTATTTAGAAATATATATGTTGCAGGGAATTGAATGTCTCAGACACCCGTTCGCTATGTTATATCATCATATGCCATATGACATCCTATACCCCCTAGAGATACAACCTAGTGCAGCTGTATCTCTATATATTAGCTGGCATAAATTATAATGTCGTTCAACTCCTTCAGTTTATTTTTAATTAGAGCCTACATCTGTTGTCCCAGCTCTAGACATCATCTGACAAGAGATTAAACCCATCATGGAAGATTGGTTTAAAGTCTGAAGGCCGGGATGACGTGAGGGTATTTGACATGGTAGCGGTGAGGGATGATATTTGCTGTGTGCTGCTTGTAATATCGACCTCTGGAGGGGAGATTACATTATTAGACTTAAACGAAAGGTAAAGAGGAGCGTAGGCGATGAGTGACGCCTACCTGACAGCACTGAAGTGTGTTACCCATGGGCTTGATGATCCGATCTAGTTTATAAATAGATTGCTGCCTGGAAGTTACATCATGAGACAATAGTTTCTGGATCTCGAAAAGAGTTTAAACCCTACGTCGGGTCATTATCATTCTGCTGCATTGGTCGTCAGGGTAGATGGAGTCTGGCAGGTCCGGGGAGTATCCTATAGCGTAACTGAGAAAGTGGATGCTAGAATGCATCACGCACAGGGCATAGAGGGAATGCTGCTTGGAATGGTAGTTATCACCACCCATGGATCTATTAGCCTAGAAACTCTAATGTATTCTTTGCCTCTTAGCTATCTCAATCCAATGTAGAGGTAATTCTATAGACCCAAAAATAGAAACCATACCATCAAGAAGGTCATAGGAAATAAATTTGTCATCAATCACAGTCTCTATGCTTCTGCCTCCAAGAACATATACATATGACTAGTACTATTCGCTGTACCAAGAAAATATCTAGCTTTTGCCTAGAAACTCCAAGACTACAATTAGCGTTAGGGCAAAGCTGGGACCCTTCGGCCCCGACAACCATTGGGGCACGGATATATGCACTGCCACTGCCATGGAGTCAACGTCAACTTGTACAGTGAAGCCCATCACAACTTCTGATTTTCACTTTCGACCCAAGCCTAGGTAGCCGAGCAAAAACATGACAATCAATTACTCTATCCTGCACAATACGGGCTTTTTGCTCTTAGCCATTCCCCGTGGTACCACAACAGCAACGGCGCAGCAATGCCAAGTGCCAAACTGACGAATGCGAGTAGGCTATTTCCCCATCCCAGGCCCAGTGCACGATAAAGGCTCTCCGCAAATAACGGAAAGGCAAACCCAGCTAATGTTCGTACAAATGCCGCGGCACCAGTAGCACTGGCGGCATAGCGGGTATAGGCGTCGACAACATAGGTCTGAGCACACTGGAAGGAGATGATCAGCCCGATCGCAAAGATTGCGGCACCGATGTTGGGTACGATCCAGTGCGTGCGGTACTGAGCACTCCATCCATAGAGAAATAAACCAATAGGGACAAGTAGCCCGCCTGGGAGCATCAGCGGAATGCGGAATTCGGGCCGCCCTGGATGGTCATAACGTTTCTGCAGGCGCACATATATCTTCAAGTCCTACGGTTAGCATGCTTCACCTGCAGGGTAAGGATCGCCATTGGTCAATGAAATACTCACTATGTCAACAGCCCGACCACAGAATTGAAGCCCGATCACAAAGCCTATTCCAAGCGAGATATAGTTCAAGCTGGCTATGCCCTTTCCTTGGCTGTATACGCCCTCCCACACCAGAGGGAAGGATGCTAGGCTGCAACATATGGGTGTTAAAACCTTAGATATCATATAGGCTAGAGGCTTTCTCACACAAGATACATCAGCCCATACTGGTAGCCCCTGTATAGGGACAGGGCTTGGATGGCTGGCTGGGTACAAAGCATTCGGAGCGGACGAATAAGGTTCTTCCGTAGGACGTGGCCAAATGTCCGGTCGGGCTTATCATACTCGGTGTGGAGCCGGTGGTTACCTGTCAATTCCTGCAGCTTTCGTTTTCTAGTTGCAAGAATCTTGGGGGCATAGGTTTCGCGCAGAAACAGGAACGCTAGTAGCTGTACGAGGGCATCGGCCATGGACACAACCCAGAAGATCCACCGCCATGACAGGTAATCTGTTAAGTACCCACCCGCTGCGTCCAAGGCTCGTATTAGCTCCGGGGTTTCCTTCTATTGTGGGGTATGACAGAATGGTCCTCTCGGCACTTACCAATAGGACCAACAGCGGGCCCGATAAACGGCATCAGGCTGTAGATTGCCGTTGCTGCTCCTCGTTCCTCTTTGCGCCAACAATCACTGAGAACACCTCCTCCAATCTAGGAAGAAATTAGCAAATTTGCCATCAAACAAATGAGCCTGCATACATACCGCTTGTGGAGCACTACCACCGAATCCACTGAGGAAACGAAAAGCGAGCATCTGGTTCCCAGAAGTAGCAAACCCACATACGGTGTTGAAAACTAAATAAAACATGTTCGCGGACTGCAGTACGACTACACGTCCGTACATCTCAGAGAGTGGTGCAATGATGAACGGCCCCAGCGCATAGGCTAGTAAGAAGATTGACATGAGGAGATATTGCTTGATATCAGACTGAATTCCAAACTCATCCGCCATGGTTGATAAAGCAGGTGCTACCATAGTGGAGGATACAGGGGAGATAAAGGTAAAGCAAGATACTAAGAGTGTTGAGATCCATTTCCTCGGACGACTCCAATTGAGAGGGTTGGATGGGTCATCTGGGCCGGACCATGTCACCTATTCTGCATCAGTACCTAGCATATACCAGGACTGGAAATAAAGTTAAGAGGAGACGTACCAGTGAATCCTGATCCACAAATAACAGACGACTCTTCTGGCTATCATGAGAGCGTGGATGTGGTTCAGCACTGTTTGTGCCATGGTCTTCATCTAATTCAGAATCGTCACGAGTACTATCTGACGCTGTATCGTGCCTCTGGTAAGGTTCTGAACTCAGACGAACTGCGGGGACAGGAGTATCATATCGAGAGTTGTACTCCGTGTAGAATTGAACGGACGGGAGGGGAATCATTCCATCCTCCTCGTCACGACTATGCCTCGGGACAAAATGTGACATGATGTGAGGAGCGTCTGGCTAAGGCGAGCAAAAGTCCGGGCAGAGAGATAGACGAAAAGAAACGTACTGCGAGGTGCTTTTTCCCGGTGTCATTGGATCCTTGTTACACTTTTATGTCCATCTCCAAGTGTTGCTCCCACTCCACACTGACTTCGGTTACCGAATAATCCATTTTCATTGTCCATATCGCCTGTTTCATTCAGGTTCAATGTAATAAGGCTGTGCAGAAAAGAATATGGCGCCCAATGGAGAGGATTTTTAAATTTTTGTTTGGCCAAGGAGAAAGGCAGCAGTTTATCGGGCTTGGGTTTGTGGCTTTGCTAAGTGGCCAAATTTCAAGTAGAATTGGGAAATTGTCCTCGTGGACCCATAGATCCGATCTTTCCCAGTAGCTCAGTCCCCAAACGAGCCTTTAGATGCCATTCTTAGAGAAATTCTGCCGTCGATCACAGCATCGCTTAGGGCTTTCTCCGCCAAGCGGGTCTATCATGCCCACGCGAGAGCGATATATGCCTTAGGCCTAGGCAACCGCATTAAGTAATTTTAGAAACGATGCTTGTCAGTCACCTCTGTGGCTTCTGTCTCAGGGTCCAGGGTGTGGTTTGTGGCCGTGCCTCATCGGTTTGGCGAAATCAACGACATTTGGGCGGTCTTGTGACCCGTCAGAGGACAATAGAGAGGGACTGAAGGGACCGAACGCACAAGAAGATATGAGGAAATGATTTTTTGTGGCTTCGCCTGCTGTCCTATTCCTGGATCTTGATATTGTATAAAAGGTTGCCGCGGTCCCAATGGCAGCTGTCTTCCTGCCGAGAAATATTCACAACACTCGTTCGTATTCATACTCTCGTTCATCTACCCAAAGACTTCAACGACAACATTCGTTTCTCCATATTTATTTATTTATTTATTTGTTTGTTTATATCTCCACAATGAATGTATTGGTCTGTCCATCTGGGTTCAAGGGAAGTATTGACCCTCCGACTGCGGCCAGCTGCATCGAGGCGGGCATCATTCGGGCACTACCGTCTTCCAAGATACGCAAGGTACCACTCGCGGACGGCGGCGAAGGCTTTGCACATGCCCTGGTTGCTGCTGCGGGTGGGCAAATGCGCAAGGCCATTGTCACTGGTCCTGTTGGTACACCGATTTCCTCGTTCTATGGGGTCGTCGAACTGGGCCAGTCCAAGACAGCAGTTATTGAGATTGCTGCTGCTGCTGGACTGAGCCTAGTACCTCGCGACTGCCGAAACCCATGTATTACAACTACATTTGGGGTAGGGCAACTGATCGCCTCTGCGCTGGATGAAGGGGTGCAGCGTATCATTGTGGGCTGCGGAGACTCTGGCACCAGTGACGGTGGGGCCGGGATGCTTCAGGCCCTTGGGGCACGATTGATCAGTCATGATGGCACCGAGATCCCTCGTGCTGGAGGTGGCGAGTCATTAATCGCCCTGGAGAGTATCGATCTTTCCAGATTACATCCTCGTCTGAAAGAAGTCGAGATCGAGGTTGCCTGTAACTGGAAGAACGTCCTCTGCGGGCCGAACGGAGTGGCGTATGTCTATGGTCCACAGAAAGGCGCGTCCCCCAAACAGACAGAGGTGTTACAAGCTGCGTTGGATATTTACGCTTCTGCTTGTAAGCACGTTCTGGGCCGTGACGTATCGGAGATGCCCGGAAGTGGAGCGTCCGGCGGGTTAGGCACTGGCTTGCTGCTCTTAGGTGCGATGCTTCGTCCACGGTATGAGGCCATCATGGAGTATTTTAATATTGAAGAACTGTTTGAAGATTGCGATCTGGTATTCACTGCCGAAGGGGGTATTGATTACCAGACTCCGAGAGGAAAGATCCCAGCGGAGGTTGCGATACGGGCGAAGAAGTATCAGATCCCGGTCATTGTGCTGGCCGGTACGATTGGAGACGAGGCAGAGGTGAATTACGACGTTGGAATCAACGCGTATGCCTCAATCCTCCAGCGGCCATCCACTCTGGAAGAGGCTATTGCGGAGGCTGAACGACTCTTGACGGAGAGTGCAGAAGGCGTAATGCGTATGGTGGTCGTTGGCCGCAAGTTGGCCAGATGGTGAGAATGAGCGCGCATGGGACGGATGATTTATGACCCATTTACCTATACCAGGATAAGAATCGAGATTATTATTTCACAGAATGCTAAATTTATGACTACACTCTAGATTCGTATACCTTTCACTATAGAAATTCTAATCTTATCTACCATATCTAACCAAGACCTCGATATTATGGTTAATCAACCCATACTAGCAGATCATCACGACAATTTCCTGCTGAGGTGAGATGTCGTCGTCAACTCACTGGGGATCAGCAGCCTTGGCGCTTGGTAAATAGCAAATTCTTTCCAGCAGAATGTAGGCAACGAGAAACTGGAGGTCCACCAAAGCCACTCGTACATAGGGCTAGTCTGTTGCAGGTCTATGACGATGACGTTAAATATGAACTATATGTAGCACTCTGGAGTAAAACCGTGAAATAGTTAGCTGGAAGCTCTAGTTGATTATTAATCTCGGTATAAGCTTTATCTAATCCTTATGTGAGCTTCAGCTAATTAACCCAACCTAAACTCTAATAAGCGGTATTAGGCACCGCTAATTTTCCAAACGTATAATAGCCAGAGATACGGGGCCTTGAGGTTAATTTACAAGTTAGGGAGGATTCTCTTTGGCTTGTGAGAGATTGACCTCTGAAAAATAGCAACGTTTTCATGGTTCTCTATCAAGGTAGACGTGGAGAGTGAACCACACCGGCAGTCGTGAGGTCATCCAACAGTTAAGGCCCGAGAATCGCTGACCATAACCACGTGGAAAGTCTAAATTTATTCATAATCTCGCCCTACTTTGATATCTTATATCCTGAGGTCAGGAATTTAATAGGAGCTTCTAATCCTCCCAACGAGACGTGCATCCTGCCATCATGGATCGCACGGCCTTCCCCGACAGTGGCAACATGCCACGGCGCAGGCCCATTATACAGCCTTTCGCCGGAAGGATTGGCGGCAACCAAGGGCTTGTAGTCGACCGCACTGACCCCGACAATGCGGACCTCTTAAAGAAGGTGCCGGATGCGGCGCCGCTGATGACATTCCGTGAGGGATTCGACCTGCGCGGATTCTGGGATATTGACCTCTGGAAGTTCGGCTTCATCGAATGCATGGGTGAGCGCGTTATCAAGGCGGGCATTGAACCTTCAATTATAGAAAAGCTTACCTTAGCCACCAGGTACCATGATGATGGTGTTCGTGACATCTTGGATGGCCGTACGACCAGCTTCGGCGTCAGCAAATGTCAGTGCGACTTCACCGTCCGGTATATTCTCTACCTCGACATTTCTAGGACCACTCTTTGGTGGTATTAGCAACTGGCTGTTCCTGACTCTATTTATTTTCTCTTTTTCAAACGTGAGTGGTAGCCATCTCAACCCGACCATTACGTTGGCTACCTTTTTCGCCCGTTTGATATCGCTCCCTCGAATGGTCATTTACCTTCTCGGACAAACCCTTGGCGGTGCATTGGCTGGCTTTATGCTTCAAAGCGGGTATGGGTCTAGGGACTTCACCGTAGGAGGCTGCACAGTGAATACCCGCCTGGTGCCTGTAGATGAGGCATTCCTGCTCGAGTTTATCTTCTGCTTGGTCCTGATTTTCCTGTCCTTTGGGGTTGGTTTGGATCCAAGACAAGGTTCTATCTATGGAGCTGCATTGTCTCCCTTTTTAGTAGGGATGACTCTGGGCGTTGTGAGCTGGGGCTCTTCTTTCACCCGCGCTGGGTATGCTGGAGCTTGTGAGTAACACCAGAGACGAACAATCTGGTCAAATTAAAAAAAAAAAAAAAAAAAAATATATATATATATATAGAGGATGGTGTGCTGACACATTGTTTACATGACAGCGTTAAATCCGGCCCGATGCTTCGGCGTCTATGTAGCTACCAGCTTTCCGGGATACCATTGGATTCATTGGGTATGTACAAAATATAAGCGTATGTCTGCCGGTCTAACATAGTTGTCATCAAAAGGTCGGTCCTCTCGCTGCCTCCATAGGGCACGGCATTGTCTACTTTATCGCTCCTCCTTGGGGGCATTGAAGGTCGCTTACGACGCAACTGTGGCGGATGGTTGAGACATATAGTAATATATTAAGGATGGCGTCTATATACATCCTGTAATTATTGATGATTCAATCACGTCAAATCTATGTACAACTCCCTATATATATATAACCTACTCAGCTATCAACATATACATACCAATTAATTCACAATTCTAATTGATTCATCTGATACTCTCACTTCCATTGAAGGAGCTCTAGCACAGCAAGAGCCACCGATATACCTCCAGCTTCATCATGCAAACTTCCCACTTTCCGGGATAGGGAGATACGAACAGCCTTTCCAATCGCACGTATCCTAACTTCTTGTCAGTATTTTTAATCCACCAAATTCCAATATCAGAGGTCAATATCACTCACTTTATAAACTTTTGTCCCCCACCAACTGAAATGCGACGAAGCCCCAGAGAAAAAGATAGCAAAGAAGATCACAACCCCAGCGACGGAAACAGAGGAATCCAAAGCAGCACTCAGCACGAAATTAAACTTATACCACCATGCATACAGCCGCTTCCTTATAATCCATCCAAAGGCCAATCCCACAAGAGCCCAACTACCATATGTCGTTCCCGTTGCAGGCGGGAGATAGTTCAGTCCGCCGAGGAAGAGAGGAACGTGGAATTTCTGTAAGATAGCGCTCTTCGGATACCGCCGTCTAGCGACGAACACAATCACGGGAAGTACAGCGCCGATGATAAAGAAGTAAAGAAGTGAGTGATATCCGGTCTTATTGTTGAAGAAGCGACGCGGTCCGATAGCACCCCAGATCAGACTCGTGTTGAAATGCGTCCGGGAGAATGGGCAGCTGAATCCATTCACTGCGTCGTTTGTGCAGACACCTTGGATGTTGCCCAGGCCCCAGTTGAGGACGCATACGCTGCTTAATGTGCCCGCTATTATGCCTCCGCATTGTGCGATGAAGAGTTTTCGTGGCGGGATCTGGTCGATGGGTTAGTTTAGAGTAATTGACTTGTACAAGGACCACAAACATTGAAATAGATGCCTAATTTCATATCCTGGCAGAAGTAGAGGCCCTTGATGGTTGTTACGTATCCAAGGTTGAAGAACCAGATGTTAGCGAGAACACGACCCTCAAAAACAAAACCGGCTACAATTCGGCAGAAGATGTCGATATTTATTTTCTGGTTCGCTGTTGCATAGACCAGGGCAAGCTATTTTAGAGTCATTGTCAGTGACATATCCTGCACAGAGCTGGCTCACAATTGTTGGTCACCTACCGGAGAAAAGAAGAACACAGCAACAGCACACGCCAGCAATGCACCGTACCAACGCAGCTCCACATCCCAATATTCTACAGAAAAGATGGCGAGAAATAACGCCAATAGTGTAGTGCAAAGATACCACCACATTGGCACTTCTGCGTTCTGTGAATGGTCTGAGGCAAAAAGCTCTTTTATATTGCCCTTTGCGAACTTGTGCCGTACCCGGCGCATGGCATCCGCAATCTCTTGTCGCTTCTCGAGAAACATCCAGACCACGAGTGAGGTGAGGGTTGCGAATGACAGACCGAACATATTTAACGCATAGGTCACGGGCATAAAGACCTATGGTAGTTAGCGAGACTGTTCGACAAGGTAAAGTCATGTTCGAGAAAGACTCATACCGGTGAGTACGCTTCATATTTAGCCACGTCTAGCTGATATCTTGAAGCCTTGTTCACGATCTTCGCAGCCTTGTATGTGCTACCTGTGTTATCGAACACTATTGTTGCGACAGTTAGCGGTATATTTTGGGGAAATAGCAGTCATTATACGCTTTATTGGGTGGATCATACCAGAAGAACTCTGGAAGGGAAGGTAAGCGGAGTGCCACGTATTGGTATAGTAACAAGCAACGGCAACGATCCAGATCCAGAACACTAGTGCTCCGAAGACATTGATAATTGCCCAAGACGGGACCACGAGAGGAGATCCGACATAAGATATTTGACTCCCTATACAATTGTCAGTGCTATGAGTCGAAAATTGAGTTGACGCACGCACAATCAAAAGTGAGCGGCAAGAGACCCATGCCGCTCTTCATCCCAAACAACTGGTTTACAACCGTGTTCTTAGGTGCGATCCAACACGGGAAAGCAAAGTAGCTCAAGGCGGGAAAGATAAAATCTGGAAACCAGTACCAGCAGAACGAGATGCAAAATACCAAGCTGAAAAAGGCATAACGCGATATCTTCCAGGTTGTGAAACCGAAGCTTTCACTGCACACGGTTAGATGCTTCGATAGTAGCATAAGAGGCACTCACATTGCCTGAGCATTCTTCTCCTTCGACCCATGGAGCGTAGATGTGAGGGCTGACGTGCCCAGTAGTCCCGGCCACACGAGCTCATGAGGTAGAACGACGAGCGATCGGAATATTCCCGCCAGCGATAGCCCGACGAAGAAGCCTGCCATTGTCATGATGATTTGGAATCCCCATCCAGCTTTATAACCAAAGAACATTTGTTGTTCGGTCAAAACATCTGCGCCGAGACGAACATAGATACTTAAATTCGACATGACGTACACTAGGATGTGCTCCTATTCGTATAGCGTGGGTCAGTGTCAACACCTTCCGTATAATTTGGAAGTTCTCACCTTCTTATTGAACGGGCCTGGGTTCAGGTTGAAAGACCACGCACCAAGCGGAACGTTCCAACTTGGGATGGCTTTCTCCCAGAGCTTTCCGAGCGGATAAGCCAGCAAAAGCACGACTGCCGATGAGATGGTGATAGATGGATTTCTCAAAGTATACAATGTGTTTAGACCGCTGACGACGATGCAGAATCCAATCCCCAGCACCCACATCCGCGCCGTCAGTACGGGCTCCGTTGGATCATCGTCATCTGTGTCAATGCCAGCCGCCCGTAGGATTTCACCGACCGAAGAGTCTGCCGCGTTTACTGTTAGCAAAAAGGAGAACAGAAACTGATGGAGTGTAGCGCCTTACTATCATCTTTTTCCGTAGCGTCTGACTTATCCTCCAGCTCCGGCTCTGGCTCTGCGTTGGCAATTACTTCCTTGCACTCGACGGCCATGGCTTAACTTTAGATCTGAACCGGAAAATGAGACATCGGCCGGATCAGATATGATTGATATATTGATCAGATAAGATCTAATCTTAACATGTGGCAGAGCTGGAAGGGGATGAAAGAAAACCAACGATCGGAACTTCTCGGTGGAAAGGATCTGTCCATTGCACAATTTGTCGGTCAAATTCCGGTCCCTCCAGCCCTGTGGGACAGCAGGCAGCTCTGGCGGGCCTCTATCCCCGAAATTAGATAGGTTGAGTGGGGCATCATATCATCGCATGTCTCGCCTGCCACAAGCCATCAGATAAGGGCGAGATCCCTGCAGAGTCATGTCTTCTCTACCTTACATAGAATATACGACTTGGCTACTTACAAAATGTTCACTTCTTACAATATTTTCAGTATTTAGGCCCTTTTCTACACATATTATCATCCGAATCCGAGAGAAAATGTTTCCATGCCCGGCTCAGCCCTATGCCGAACAAGACTCGGCTAAGCTTTGTAGGGCTGAGGGTTGGGCCACGGGTTACCGCATTGGGACCGTTCCGTGGAGACCGGCAATGAAAGCCCTGCTTTGTGGACCCAACGGAATTCTTCTGCCTAGAATGGAGGCATTTATTACCTCATGCACGGACAGTAACTCGAACCTCGGGCCGTGCATTGTGGGAGATATCCTAATGTTATAACTGAAGAACATCGCATGACATTCATTATGGGGAAATGGTTTTGACACGTTAGTCCTAGAAAGGTATTGAACAGCGAGAACCCAGACGATGAGCAAAATAAATCGGTACAGAAGACCGGGAGGGGTGGGTTGGAAGGACGAGACAAGAACAAGGATTCGTTATCGAACGGCAGCCACCAATAATATTCCATATCATGGTCACTGATACCACCTTCATTAATACTATTCCTGCGCTACCGCGGAACCGGAAATAGACCCCGCCTCAGTTGATTGATTAATACGGTTTATCAGATTGTTTGCACGCTCCCTACAGGGCTACTCCGCCTCTGAATATGCAACTCTAGGTCAACCGGATGTACTTCGGCTTCTTCGCCTTTTCACCTATGCTGCAACATAAGACTTCGTAGAGACAAGATAAACGGCTACTTGCTAGAGAATTACATAATGAAATACGTCAGGTTGCATTGCATATCTACAATAGTTAAGACGGGAGGATCATCATGCTGGCATACCCAACTCTGCTCAGGGTTCATCCTAGCTGCATCTAATGTCCACCAACAGGGGGAGAGTTCATATCCCACTACGGACGAACGGAACATTAACGAAGAAATCACATAATTCTTACATTAGAATCTCATGTAAAACATCTGTCCCGCTATACCTTGACGCTAAATCCCATTAGCATGCGGTTTTCATCCATGGAAGCTTATCCAATTAGTCTCACATAGGTTACATAACTAAAACGACAGGCCGTTGTTCATGCTAGTCTAACCAGGTTGACTACAATCTACACCCAGCAGCATGTATCTCGGATACACTTAACGTGAGCCAAGAACCCGAGAGCAGTTATACAGAATACAAACTATGAAAGCAGGGAGTATAGCTCGATCCTAAGCTCAGATAAGGAGAAGTCATTAATATATATGCATCCGCCCCAAACGCGGCTCCCGGCATCCGACCAAATAAATAAGCAAGTGATTTGTTAAATGGCGAAGCGCTCAAGCGCGCCTTGCTACGGTGGTACTTCTCCCATTCTTCACGAAAGCGTTTTAGAGAAGATCTTCGTCTCTTGAAATTCGCCATAGATACAGGACCATAGCGATAAGGAACGCCACAGTACTTGAAACAGGGCCATATAATAGCAGGTTCTATGGCAAATATCTCACCCAGCAGGTTAGAACGCTATCCATTCTAGGGATCAGCTCACCATGACAGCGCACTGTCAGAAGGTCACCTATATCTACTAAGTCCTACATGTAGGCATACATGAATCAGTCGGGACGGGCAAGGCAGCTGAAAGGCGAAAGTCGTTCTGTAACTTCCGGTAAGCCAGAGAACAGAATTGGCAGTCAATTAGGCAGCCACATAGGAGTATAAGTGGACCAGGAAAAGAGTTCTAGATTCAGGTAGTACTCCCAACACAAATTGCGTGCCGCGCGTTGGGGGGAAAGGGAGAAAATATAATGGATAGTCCGGATAACGCATATAAAACGCGGTATACGATTAGGTAACTTTTTCAAAATAATCTCTGGTTCTATTCATTAGCAAAAGAATATTATGCTAACCGTGGGATGTATGAATGGCTCGGGTCCGAAAGCAGGGTTTGGGTCTAGCTTTGGATTCTGGAGTGCACGATGGATTAGTTAAGTCAGGTGGGAAATAATACTGGGTTAGAATACAAAGGATGTATATCTGGACAATATCATTCAAGGTCAGTTCGACGTTCAATATTAGAATGATAACAATTATCTCGAAAGTTCTGCTTGTCCTACAATTATGAGACGTGTAGGTACTGTAGTCAAAATTCCAGGCCTCTTGAAGGGCAACTGCACTCCGGTTAGGATTAGAAAGTACATAGAAGGGCGTTTACCAACCCAGCATGTGTTCAAGCAAGCCTAACCTCGGGTTAGACTCCTGTCCTATCTTTGATACCTAGTGGTATGTATAGAATCGAGGTTAGACTGTTTAGATTTGAACATCTTCCACATAGTTTGCTGACCATTGACGAGAGCCCCGTAGGCTAATTATATTATGACATATATTCTATCAAAAACCCATGACTCTTGTTTGAGATAATGGTATGTCATGCATTATCCAGCAGGTGGACAAGTGCGTACTCGCGCCATTAGCGTCACGAACGGTTAGCAAGCTTCTGACATATAAAATCTTTTACTTCTGCCTTCAATAGTTGCCAACAAGCACCTCGTCAGACAAACGTCGAGCAACATTGACTCTTACTCCGTCCTAAAGCTGTTTTATGCCGATTAGTCCATGACAGAGCAGAAGTGCGATTCACATTACATCCTTCAATTAACCACCATTCGGAAATATCAGCGTGTTGCTTGGGTTAGTAGCTGATGGCTTGAATTTCAGTTCTAAAATTACGGTAAAAGAGATTATTGTTACCAGCCCTCAGAATCGGGCGCGTCGGAGCACGTGATGATGATGTATAGATAACAGATTCGGCTTCCATCCTTACGCAAGCGACAGTCATATACCGGAGGCATAAGCTCCACACTGAGATACTAAACGTCCCCGGTCATGGCCAACGTAGCTTGTCATTCGCATTAACTACCCTTTGACGAGTCCCATAGCTCGTAGGGCGTATCATTCAGAACTATGTATGTGGGTAAACAGTATCAACTAGGCAATCGAACTGCACCTCCAACATACGGACAACCATGTGACCATGTCATCAACCAGAAGAAGAATCAAGCTTTCAGTTTTCTTCTGCAACTTGCGTCTGCCGAGCTGTTCTCGAACCTCACGCGCTCGTTTGCGGCGATACTCCCGAATGCGACCGGGTGCGGTTATGCTTCACCTTTTGTATACACAGTACATAACCGCAACCATCCGCTTGACCCACTGGGCGGCGATCTTTTCAAACAATCCCGAGTAGGTCTACCGTTGTCACGGGATTCTCATAGCCGACGCGCTGAGAGATCACGGGTTAGAGTTTATGATCGTTTAGCGCGACTGTATTGCTTAGTCAGTCTCTTTATGCATCAACCATATGTTTTACATGCAACATCTGAAGTCGATAATGGTATATATACACAGGTAACTTGAAAATCAAACGCTGAAAAGAACGTAAGACAAATCGAAATCACGCAGTAAGCAATAAAAATCAATAGCGGAACAGGAAACGATTTAGCACCGTTGATGTAATGCATCCGTGACAAGGGTGTAGGATGCTTGCATCATGTATTCATTCCTCCCAAAAATCACCCATGTAGGCACATAACCAAACTCGTGTGTATTCTCATTAGGATAGTATTGTGTGCCAGTCGCAGTAAGACCATCGAATTACGTGGCAGCTATTCCCCGTGTGGCAGGCGATTATCGGTGGTATCACTCGTAAGCAACGCGCACGCGTATTGAATCCGACATATGAACTGTTGATCACTAATAGCGATGCTCAGCAACGCTAAATTCCCTGGGTGTAGGAACTCTCATTCACAGAATGGAAAGCAAAGTGGTGTAGTCGGAGAACAGGGGTATTAGGGACTAAGGTTGGATTGCTCGGAGATTCGTCGGGATAAGCTGGTGGAAGTACGCGATTTACAGGTCGCCTTCATTCCACTTTTGAGCCGCCTTTGCTTCTGCGGCATCTCTCTTCTTATTGCGATAAAGGAAATAACAGCAGACTCCGACCGCGATGAGGAATAGACTAAGAAATGCAATCAGTCTCCCTCTTGAGGGCACACGTAATTGGCAACACCACAGTACTTACACTCCAACGATGATGGCAGGGACACCACTCTTAGTGAAGTTACTGACAGGCTTCTCGCAAGCGTCCGAGGAGCCGTCGCCCTCACAGTCGCGAATCCACAGGGATGATGCCATTGGAGGCATCTTGAGGGCGAATGCAGGGTGGATGGGATTGACGATCGGTGTTCGAGAACATGGGAAGAAGGAAGATTAAAAGGAAAGATCAGGGGCTGATCTGAGAACGAAAGCAGGCAGGAGTCCAGGACAATTCGAGAATTAATTAGCGCCAAACCACCGGTGGGAGTCTAATCTTATTAGCGTCTGGGCCACAGTCCAATAATCCCATTCGATTTCTCTCCGGTTTAAGGGGTTTTCCCACACTAGACGGAATGCGGATAAGAAATGTATCTAAAATTGACATTCTGAAACAAGGGCTCCTGAACTGAAAACGGCCTTTGATCAATCGAATTCCCGCGACTGCCCCAAGTCAACTGGCGCTGCCATTTGGGTAAGGTCTCTGGATTTTGTATATGGAATACAGAGTACAACACTTTTTTTTCTTTTTCTTCTTCCTTTTCGTATATGTTCTAAGAGTTTTCGTCCCTATCATTACCTCTTGTGAAGTATTCATGAGGAATGCCTAGGCCTAGGTTCAAAGGAGCAAGTAGAAAACATTCTACGCAAGGTCATGAGATACACCCAATTCCCTATAAGGCTCTCGTTTCATATTTTCTTCAGGAGTACATTCTCCCCGGGCTTTATCCGTTGACAAGAGCAGGAGGAATTGCTTGTTGGTGAAAAGAATCTGGGGAAATTTTCTGCGGCACGCCAAGACCCCTGGAAAAATGCTACATTTCCTGACAGCCTGAGGCTTCTCTGATTGCTTGGAAAATCAGAGAAAGGGGGTGGGGTAACAATAATAAACATAACAATACATGATTGAATCACCAACTAACCCACGGTTCTTGAATTATCGCGAATACATGATTTTGATAATCTGTAGACCATATGATGTTGGCAAAAGGTGCACTCTATCCTTAATGAGAAGAATAGTAAATATTATCTCCTGCAGACATCGGACGAATGTTAATCCACATACCTTTACAATGGAATCAATCGCATCAGTTGGCACTGAGTTGTATTCACTTTTAGCAATTCCTAACTGTGCCTATACAAGGCTGACTCAGGGCTTTGATCGCACCTGACAGGATCTACGAGGATTGAATGAGGAGACGTAACAGTCCAACATCGATCTATTCACGCTTCAAAAAGCCACGGCGTTAATTGCAGGGCTATGAGAAATGGATGATCCAAAAGTGCCATCGCATTACGGAGTATAGGTGAATAAATTCGTTAGCAATGGACCAGTGTCTTCTCCCACACCATCGGTCAGCTCTACTAGGCTCTATCGCAGAGTTCCAATATGCACTTATGCAAGCCGCGCATATGTCATTGCTCCTCAGACTAACGAAGGTCGGCGTAAACTCTCAAGTTGGAATGTATGGTCTCCGGGAAGCGCCTTTCACAACCGGTGCGGGGGGAAATGGTGATCTTGGCTTGTTTAGGATCTCCTAAAGATCCCATTGTGCAAGAAGTTATTAATTACTCATGAAGTGGCAGGCATACAGGTCGCAGCTGGTTTGATCAGATCCGCCATAATGACATGATTGTAATGATTATTGCACGATCCATCAAGGAGCTGGACATTACCTGATTTTCTTCTGGTACGTGTAGAAGGGCGGCGATATTGAATCATCTTTAGCCACGAGCTGTTCTGCCAAATTGTTAATCTACACATCTATGCTTATTTCATGCACTCATGGAGACTATTTGATTTACCATTTTTAATCGGCCACTTGGTTATGTTCCTTGTTTGTTGCTTACAAGCGTAATGATCTAGATGCAGTATTCCCGTCTTCTTCATCTGGTCTTCATAGAAATACCGACCAATAGTTACTATTATTCGACTATATACTCATAGGTCTCAGGATAGTGTTATCCTATGTTGTTGCCCTAGACCTAGTGAAATTATCCACAATACAAAGGAAACAAAAACCTCATACGGACAAAATAACCCATTTTCGTGTGCATACCAAGTAATTGATTTAACAGCTTCTGACAGAAAATACGCTGTATGATAGGTACCCTCACTTAGAGGAGCATGTACCCCTATCGACAAGTATACCTGCAGTACGTATCAAACAACAGCGGCCTGTCTATTTTTCAATACAGATCACCACACCACGGTGTACATCCACCCAGGCACCGCGGTCCAGGAACGACCAAGTATTCTCGTCGTCCAATGTGACTTCGACCCTAGGGTCGTGCTGAAGCACGCGACAGACGGTATTATGGTGGAATTCGGTGAGCTGAGCGCTTGTTGCATAGATCTTGCCGTCCTTCTCGAGATCCGAGTCGTCGAAAAGCTTTTGGATTGGATGTGGCTTGCCGTCAGTTGCAACGGAGGCTTTGGCATTTGCGCCAGACCAGTCGTTGGAAAGTTGGAGGGTCACGCTGTCTGACCAGCCATAAAAGAAAGGAGTAGCGGAAGCAGAGGAGGTGAGGAAAGTGAAGAGAAGGCCAACGGTAGTTGTGATCTTCATATTGGATGATAGCACAGCTTGGCTGGTTGGTTTTGCGGTTTGAGGTTGAATGATCTAATTGCGTTGGTACTTGTTCTATGTGACCCAGGCAATCTCTATGTGATATGGTGACTATTGCCATATATATAGCTTAGTTGACGTGGTAAGCTTCACATATTCAGAGTCAATTATATCATGAAGGTGATCCCAGGCCCATAGTTCCGTGGTAGAAAAACATAATAACCTGTACTGGTAGTCCTTATGGCTGCATGCGGAAGAGCGTAATGTTCAACGCATTGAATCATTCGTCGGAGTTTGAGCTGTCCGAAGCAGATCGAACTTTGAGGTAAAGCTGAAGTCCAATCGCCATGGGGCCGCTCTTTACTGGCATGCAATATCCTGGAAACATGGTGTCTACATTTGTAATGTATCCTGTCTAAAGATTCTCTGGCACCTGGAATGAAAGACTACCGTAGGCTGAGCAGCCTGATGCTTGGTAGACGTAAGAGCATCAAGCTTTTGTGCGTTTGGCCGAGTGTCACAAACTTTATATCTACTTTCTTGGTTGACCCATTGTACGTCCAGTAAAAGCATACACGCCCTCCACTCCGAATGTTAGTGGAGTGGACATAGACATGATGAAGTCACTATCGAGATCCACAACATATACTCCGTAGAACATCAGCATGATTTTCTCCATAACGTCGCATAGTATATAGGCAGAGAGCAGGGCTTGAAAGGAGGGACAATTGCTTATCCGGGGTACTTGGTGGTACGAATATTGACCAGCTCACTACAACTCATTCGAACCTGTGTCTTCCGACTAAAATCACCGTGCCACTACAAGAAAAACATATACGTACATACACATATAAATTCTTGTGGTTATGTAGATATTCTAGACATCAATTAGAGTTATCTAACGGTTTATCCGCCCGGTCCCGCGGCTGCAACCGTCGACGACTGAACCATATCCCCACTTGCGCTGAAAGCTAGAATTGGTCTTGACGTAATGATAACGGAGTTGGTTCACTTTGTTCAAGCACTCATGTTAAGAGACAATTATGATCAATAGCATGTTTCCCATGTTCTTAGTCTAAAGAATACCATCTGGCGTAGATCTACGAATGTAACGTTACGTTTGGCAGATGTACTAGTCCATAGAACGGAACTGACATCCACAATCCGCTGCCAGGGAAAGTTAAAGAAACAACCATCTGCTTGGACGTTTAATATCAAGCTCTAGAACTGAGTCCCTCTAGTGTTAACTCTTCTATATCATCATTCGAGGCAACTATAAGTGTTCAGCCATGAATCTGCACCTCAACCCGAGAACCGTGGCATACGGCGTAGCGGTCATCTACAATAAAAAATGATACAAAAACAAAGTGGGGTTACGCTTTACAAACAGGGTACTTGTTCCGTGTGAGGAATGTTTATATATTAAATAAGTATTTGCACCAAGTATTCACAAATCGCTCAATACAAAAGAAGACGCGCAAAGATAAATCGATCCTTTATACAAGTCCTTGCGCCAAAGAACGAAACACTAAAGCACAAACTTAGTTGGCCCAGCAAGGCTGGGGTTCGTTGGTCTCAACGATGTGAGCAGCAATGCCAACGCAGTCCTTGTTGCCACCGGGGTTAGCGACACCAGCGGAGGCCCAGATGCTGTAGCCGTCGACACCGGGGCAGGCGATGGGGCTGGATCCGTCGAACAGGAGGTGGCCATCCTGAATAGACCAGCCCTTGCGCTCGGCGTTCGCGGGAGCGGGCTGGACACCAACGGTGTAGCCAATCTTGCCCTGGCCTGTGATATTGTTAGCTTCCGCTGCAACTACTGGAGTATGGGTGGAAGGCATCACGTACCCATGCCGGAGCGGTCAACGTAGACCTCCTGGGGTCGGGCAGTGTTATCATAGATGTTGAGAACACCGTCGTTGATGTAGAAGCTGGTCTCCGGGCAGCTGGAACCCTTGTTCTGGAGGCCAGCGATGAGGCTACCCTGGGCGGCGCTGAAGGCAGCGTTCTGGACAGCGCTGCCGGACTTGATAGCAATGACGCCGAAGTACTTAGGGGCATCGGCGGCCGGGGCAGCGGCGGCAGTAGCAGCGATGGACGCAGCGAGAGCAAGGTTCTTGAACTGCATTTTGAAAGGTTGATGGCAAACGAGTGGGTTTGTAGAAAACGAGGGTATTTAAAACGACTGGATAGATGGATCGATTGATTGGTTGGTCGATGAGAGGAATGATAGCAAGGAGAAGGGGGATGAGAAGGGCTTTTATATGTTGAGAGTGACAACCTGATCGAGTCGATGGAGTCTCTTCCAAGACATTTGATGTCAACTATTATCCGCTAGCTGCTTGCTAACTACCCACTCTCGAGATCGAAATCTTAAGAACAACAGGAGAATCCCGCAGTTCAACCGACGCCATGTTGTCATCCTGCTGAATAGGCAACTTAGAGCTATAATTAGCCGGTCCACTCCGCAGTCCCTTGATTTTAGTTTCATTTCGGCCCAAAGTCAGCGATATAATTGGGGTCTTATCCATCACGTGGGCCCCTGTGCCCTCAGTTGCCACGCTCGGTAGCCCTCGGAAATCTAGGGAGCAGCCGATCGTGGAATAGGAGCCGTTAATTTAATCGTTAATTTTAGGAGAGACAGTTGTTTCGCGGAGATGAGATTCTGAACGGGTACAAGAACAACTGCTGCTCCACATTACAGACATTGTCTCATTCTAGTATCCGTCATTGGCTGCGTAGATTGAAGTTGATCCGGAGCAATGCCCTAAACATAGTAGATGAAGCGTCGATCTTCGATTAATATCCTTATTATTCTCCTCACGCCACTGAAAACCCCCCACCAGCGAGAGGGGGGACAGGACACCGCACCTGTTGTCATGATGATGAGGTATACTTCATTACGTCCCCGTGAATAGTAGAAAATTCATGAAGCTCTAGACAAAACAATATCACAGGGCGGGCTTTCTACAGCCTAAGACAGGGGGGCAATGATTTAGGGCAAAAATCAATAGTGGATGCAGATCCAACCACATTTTCAGAAACTGTTAATTTGGATGCGGAGCGAGATGCCGGCTGTGGCGCAGCAACAAATAGCCACATTTCCAGAAGAAACGGGAACATTTCGAACCTTTCAACCGACTATACGTGACTGTAGGATCGGTAGACTGCAGAGCTATTACCCAGAAGCTGCATGTCTTGAAATTTGTGAGGTGCTGGAAAATGCCTCAACGCATATCGGTTAACTCCGATACATGCTTGACATCACCAGCAGGTTCGGACATACTCCGTAGCTTATCCGGGAATCGGTCATTCCAACTCAAGAGCTCTGCTAAATTTTATTCAGGCATTAGTTCTAGCGGTCAATTCGAGATAGATACAATAAGCATTTGTCCCATTTTTGGTACCTACCCTGCCTAAAACGGGAGCAAATGACCGGCATATCCATCCATCAAGAGAGCATTCTCCCAGTAGTTATCCGTCGGGACCTGCTAGGCTAATCGACTTTTGTACACGGCCCACCCATAAGGTCGCTCTTCGATTTAACTTCTCCGGTCAACTACTCCCTTGAGAAAGATGTGACACCAATATAGTTCAGCTAGATCAGTCCTCACCAGATTCGGCAAGATGGGGTTGCGACGGGACTATGAGAAAGCTGGAAATAATTCTTCCCCCTGGCTTAAAGTAGTCTGCTCTACCTCCTGGATCAAGTTTATTGTAGGTTACCAGACTACTCTGCACAGATCGTGGGCAAGACATGTCTCTCGACTAGGACTCACATGAAGGAATCTGGTTCTGCTTAATTATATATCATCTTGTCTTAGCCCACTTCCCTAGGTATAATAGAGAAGATACGACACTTGGAGTCGAAGTATTGTCAAGGGTCTATCGAAACTTGTATAACATAAGGCAGGAATGATGTATCCATCCAGTGTTCTATCTACAACATAGACGGTAGAAACTGTGGGAAACCTGAGTAAGATGTGGAGCTCAGGAATAAGTCAAGGATATCACAGGGCGCCTTTTCAATGGTTGCTAGGACAGTCAACCTCGGTGTGCATCCTTAATACATCTGAAGAGGCGGGCATCACCTGTGCAGTAGATACATACAGTTCTATGCTTCTGAACACTTCCATCGTAGCACAAATGCACCGATCGGGGCTAACGGTTTTCCAGAAGGTTTTGAAATTCATGGTCTAGTTGAGCTTCCTGATGGCAGTAATTTCCTTCTTTCTTCTATGCTATCCTACTTGGTTGAATGACTAATTTGACTCGAATCATGTGCATGAGCTTCAAGAACCAGAGCATGGCCTCCCACAATATATATGGAGCATCTCACATTGTTGTGATTACTATTTAGATCTACCATGGTAAATACGAGCTATCTTTATGCACATCCACGCAATATCTGTTAGTTGAGATAGGCTATAAAATGTTTAATGAACTTCACAATATACTTACATACAAAAGCGTCAAGGGTGTGTAGATAGAAGTTTTAACTTGAGTATCGATACGATGGAGCCACATAAACTGGGATAATAACCAATCACTATTTATGATCGGATTGTACAAAGGAGATATGTTTGTATATTAATGGTGGTAAATGACGAGCCTGGATCTTTCAGTACTACTGTAGACGGCGCATCGGGTATTTGGGTGTCTACCTGTACAGTTATATATATTCGGTCGGAAACTCTTACAGGGTACCGCCTACACTTTCACCTCAAGGTAAGATAACTTGAAACGTTGAATTGCGATTGACTGATTATAATTCTCTACACGTGTAATGCACCTTTTCTATCTATGGAAATGTAGTATTGTAGATATGGGGAAATAACGGAGTCATGAGGTATTCGTCATGGTGCAGCTGGAAACTGTCGCGACGAGGAAGAGTGGAAAACCGGAGATGGGAGGAAATAAATAGGATAAGCGAAGGCATAGAGAAAAGATATGAGTAGATCATAACACTCGAATTCCTTCCCAACGATAGGAAAGAACGAACAAACAGAAGTGCAAGCAAAGCGGGAAAACAAAAAAGAATTAAAAAAACGAATGATGGACTTGAGGGGAATTGAACCCCCGACTTCTCGCATGCGAAGCGAGCACTCTACCACTGAGTTACAAGCCCTAGTAACCGAAGGATGAGTAATCTTTGCAATACATGTATGGAAAATCATAAACGTTGCTGCATGCGGTCTTACTCTGGAGTAGGCTCCACATGTAACCTGCGATCCTTAAGACCTGTTCCCGGTCATAGATATGTCCTCGTGGACAACCCAATGCGTTTGTTATGTGAAGTGTCTACTGAAGCACATCCCTTGCATACTCGTCATGGCATAATCAGAATTGACGATGGTGCTGGACCTAACAAAATGCTTGATAGGCAGTTTGGTCTGATCATAAAGTGGGAAGAAGTACACGCACAAAATAGCCGCCCAAGACTTGCTATAACTAAGTTTATGTATCCATGGGATTAGTTCCTATTTCAGCAACTTGCAGGCGCCATACGCGTCTACTGTGTCGTACCTGGGCTCCCTCGACAGAATGCACTGGGTAAGGGCGCCAGAAGGCAAAATGAATTATCTTTAGACCTACTAAAGTCTACCAGTGATCATGCCGGATTTCCGGGTGGCGTTGATAAGCAAAATTTACCAGGAACCAGAATTGGGATACAAAAGTACCGTCGCCATATCCGGGGAGTCAATGCTAAATCCACGGAGGTAGCCAGAGAAAAAAAAAAAAAAAGTAAGTTTCCGCTCCGCTATCCGGAGGAGGAAATACGTACTCGTTGCCGCGGCACAACTCCGCCCAGCCCCGATCGTGGGAAAGACGGATGCAATCAGGGTGGCTGTTGGTGGATTCAAGGCCTTCAAGTGGATTATCAGGGTGGCCGATCAATGCTACCGTTAGGTTGGCACTCCAGCTATCATTTGTTTCGCAGCCGCGATTTGCCACCCAAAAATCACAAAAAAAGAAAAAGAAAATAACAAAATTCTACCAGCACAGTATCAGCTCAGCTCACCATCCGAGGTCATGAGTGTATTCCAGAAGCTCCAGCAAACAATTAGTGGCGCATCGTCGTCACGCTAAGATTGTTAGTGGGATGGATGGCGTGCGCCCCCCAAGCATATGGATTTCTCAACACGGGAGGTCTGGAACCAGGATTGGGTCAGATGACCTTCGAAAGTTGCTGGCAACAAAGGGATTGCTGACACTTGTTCCACCCTGGGCAGCGACGCAGTGATTGAGAACGTTGATAGCCCTCTCGGGTGGTGTGGTTTGAGGACATCACCCAATCTTTGCTTGCAAGTGTAGACGTGTCAATTGTCCGGAGGCGGTCACATTGATTAATTAACCCTATAATGGAGAACCCCGGATTTTAGGTCTGTTGCATTAAACTGGAAATCCCGTGTAATTGACATGAAAAAACTTTAATCAATCGATCTAAAATTCGGCAGAAAAGATCTCAGAAAGGAAAAGAAAGCTACCCCTGGCGAATTAAATTACTAATAAGCCCCCCTTATCAGTTGGTTAGCATCGTGGGTTTGCAGAGTCGGGGAGCCATGGGTCGCGATCTCCGGGCGGTGAGAGAGGGCTTTCAGAGCTACAATACAAATCAAGATAGTGAAATGTAACAGAAATCGCGACATTCAACCAGAACAATCCACCAGACCCGCTCGCAACGCTATTTTGCATTGAAGCGGCGGATGACCTGGCAACTTTCGAGGAGATGGCGGTCAGGATGATCATCGCTAAGAGTTTTCTGGCATTCTCCTATCATGGTTGTCTATTTATTGCCCCATCCTCTCTTCTCCACTGTGGACCCCCCTGAACCATTTATTCTGGAATCCAGGCACAGAACTTTTCCCTTCTTTCTCTTTTATCTATTCAAACGCCCCTCCGTGTAACGTCCGACCCCCCAAACGTTCAGATTCCCCTCTCCCTCCATCATGGCGTACGACTGTTACTGCGCCATCTGCGGTGTCGGCTTTACCGGCATGCACATTGAGTCCCCGTCGGAGACCGCGATCGAACGACGAAGACGGTGGATTGAGAAGAGATGCCGGGCGCTCGAGGCCGGCCAGGACATCAACCAGATTTCCACCGAAGACAATGACGCCCCCGTGCGCAGCTACGATCCTCGTTTAGTCGACACCGATAACGTCTCCTGGCTCTACAAGGCATACTGCCTCGGATCGAATCCTCCCTCCGGTTCGTCGAAGACGAATAAGTACGTTCTTGTATACGTTTCCGGCGAGTCAATTCCTGTCTAACACAGTGGCAGAGCGTTCATTGCAGGTCCGGGATATTATGCGGATATTGTAGGCGACACCTGAATATACTTTTGGAGCAAGCCACCGTTCGAGAAGCTTACAGGCCACTTTGACAGGGAGAGCTAGTGGTGAAACCCGGCAATGGTATGTGTTACACGAGGCGGACGAGGTGCAGGCGCGTGGCTAATTTTATCCTAAGATCAATATCAGCCGTCGGCCCGGAAAACCTTCATGTGGTCCGTTTTGACCTCCTCGATTCGTTTCCCTGGAAGGGAGAAAAATAAACACCTCTCGCTAACTCTCTTGTAGTTATGACGAGGGAACCGAAGACGCCACTGGCCCAGTCCTCCCATTCCATTGGAGCTGTTTCGAAATTTTGACCCGAGTCCTCACGGGTTCCACCGAGATCAACAATGTCAACCTCAACGCTCTTTACGGTGTCATGTCCGCTTTAACCAACCATTCCTCCTTACATTTGAGCTACGGAGACGACATTTCGCGGTCGCAGGGCCGTTACTGGGAATGCATTCCGGGTGCAGAGGTAAGCGTGACCACGCCGGAGATTAAACTGCAATATCCCTAACGTATTGCCACTTCTGCGCTCAAACAGTACTGTGCCAAGAACCCAACGGATACCCCCATGGTCGATGAGCTTTTCCAAAACCTGAGCACGGATGATGAATTCAAGCGCCCTTCGCTGGAGATTGAGCTCCGCGAACGACGCCCCACCGATCCATTTGGCCAACTACCTCTAGAGATTGCACAGCAGATTTGCATGTTCTTGCCTGGAGAGTCGCTGAAAGCGCTTGCTCAAGCTTCTCTCAGTGTTCAAATTATCACCCAGGATAACTCGTTCTGGAAGCGTTTTATGCAGTGGGACATGCCGTGGCTCTGGGAATTCCAGACGCTCCAGAATCAGAAGGATGTCAACTATAAGTCACTTTACCTGTGGCTGAACAAAATGTCCACTCCGCGGTATGGCATGGACGATTTGAACCTGATGGGCGTTGCCAACCGCAGACGCGTCTGGAGCGTTTGCGAACAACTTGCAAGCCGCTACAACAAAACTACCGGCCAGGCACCTGCGGAAGCGATGAAATGGGGTCGCGATTAAGCATCTGCGGGGATGAGATATACAACATTCGATCGCTACGTTTTGACTGCCGAGGTGAGTCTAGGCCTCGAATTATCTGGAATCGCTGTCTGTTGAAGAAGAATGCTAATGTGACAAATCTACAGGGATTTTGCGGGAACTACATTCAGCCATATGATACCACAGCTTCACTACTTGATTTCGACCTTTGCCTTGCCTCTTTGTCCATTTGGAGTTTATCCGGCGTTGGGCCTGGGTTGTTTGCCGATTCTCAACTTTTGCCTTTATTAGCGTCAAGCATTATAGATATAGACTATCTTCCTTTTTTATTCGACGAATCTATAATGAAACCGAACGATTGACTTGGTCGTTGCTTTACACCTTCACATTTGACGGATCTATGTTATCTTGCTGTTTTGCGGAGAGGACCAGTTCTTTGTCAATAGAACGCCGTGTAGTAGACTTCACACCTAATTTTGAGAGATTTCGAACAATTGCTTAAGACCTTTACCGGCGAAATAACTGGTATTATTCTGGTATAATTCTGTTATCAGACCAATCGATCTGTGGCGAATGTGTCGGAGAACGTTCGGAGCATTGTCGGAGGTATTGTCTATGACTATATTCCAGTCCAGTGTCACCGGAGTCACGAGCGCTCGTTAAGTTTAGGATCACATTCGATAAAATTATTGTTGTTGCTAAGATCTAAGTCGTGTTGCCCTATCTCTAAATAGAAACCCCGGTCGTCTTTCTGTGATTGGTGCTTGAGCTTGGTGCGACTTGTGCCTCATAGTCTCAATCCCAACCATGGGACTAAATCTTATGACTGAAAGATTACTGTGAAACTTGGATTGTTCCTACAAACGGGCAGTCACTATTTACCTACTTCTACCCTGTAGAATGTGATTTACTCTGTAGCCCGTAGGGACCATGGGCAATCCTGTCAGTCCTGAGGAGCTGTGTTAAAACCAACCCTAAGTTTGCCCCAATACCCTACGCCCTCATTGTAGCGTTTTCAATCTAATATATTGCTCTTAGGTTAAGCTACCCATTCCGCTATAAGACAGGAATTCTGTTCCCTGGCTGACCCTAGGACAAAGGTCTTTTGTAGTTTTATCAGCATCCCCGATGCCCTGAAACGGTACTGAAACGATATAAGCTTATGGTTTTCGAATCCCCATGTTGAGTTTATAAAGAAATAAGCATCTAGGATCCTTCAATGTAAACACTTGCATTGGGTCGGAACTTGCCGGACCACATCTGCCAAGCACGTTGTGAAAGAGTTGGATCATTTCGTCATTCTGACGCTAGGATTCCTTCAAGCTACAATTGCCGATTTCTAGGAGTTAACGCTTGGTATTTATATTAATATTTGGTATATCCTATTGGCGAACTCATTAAAGTACACTCTTTAGTTAACCATCCAGCGATATTTTTCATCCAAATGAGCGCACTTCAACCCCTCTTGCTTGCCGGTGGCCGCTCCTCGCGAATGGGTAGACGGAAGGAATTGCTACCCTTGGTACATGATATACCTATATACATGAATCTATTGCGCATCTTGGACCTTGCATGTCCTCATTCACATATAGTCTATCTATCGTTGCGCAGTCCAGATTGTCTCCGAGATATACTGAATGACCCACGGGTTACGGAACTGTCCCCGGGCAAGCTCGCCATAGAGGTCGATGGCTCATCTACATTGGTACAAGTAATCTATGACCGTGCTAGTGATAGTTCTCTCAACACAGAGGACGATATAGGCCCAGCGGGCGGCCTCCTAGCTGCTCATCGCTTTGATCCGCAGGCTACTTGGCAGGTTGTCGCCTGCGATTACCCGTTCTTGTCCGTGTCCGACTTGCATCACCTGCAGCAAGAGATGGCTGGTCCCGTTACCTGTTTCCAGAATGCGGATGGAATTTGTGAGCCTCTGTTGGGTATCTGGACTCCTGAAGCCATGCACGTGCTTGATCAGAATGTCCGGAAAGGGATTTGTGGGCCAAAGTCGGTCATTCGCCAGTGCTCTGGAAAGACGATCCGGCCGCGGGATGATAGGTGTTTATTCAATATGAATACACCTGCTGACTTGGATACGGTGCTAACTTGGATACGGTGCTGACTTGGATAAATGTGTTGTCGCAGGGATGTAATGCGCCAGATCTCAACGCATCGGGTAAATGCCAACTGAGTCGCCTTCTCCGACTTCAGAAACACCATGAGGGATCCGGATCCAGCAGTTGGCCTCGAGGAATGGTTTGATCTTGCCAGGACTATGATCCGATATGAGCTGGACCATGAGATCTTGGTCTGTGGAACCGCAAAATGTCCCCGGCCGAAACACGTCTTTCTCTATCGGCACAGTTGCGACTGGCTTACTGCAGCTGAGTGGTATTCCATGATGAATACCAAGTTTGTAGTTCGCAGCCATGATCCGAGCTTTATATGGCTTCTCTTGCGATTGCAGTTGGATGGTATTCAAGTAAGGCGCTACTATAAAACGAAGACAAGCGGCGCTGGCTACCGGATTTCCCGGCAAGCCGAAAAAGGCTACCTCGCTATCTGGAGGAGCAGTTCCGGGTCGAGGAAGCATGGAGAAAAGCACCGGATGCCCAGGCCTCATTTCAACTTTGTGAAAAACTGTCCGCGCCTGTCCGCGCTCGAGTACTGTGGGGATCATATCGTAGCGACCGGCCGAGACAGCGCCAGAACTGATGATCAGGTCATATCTGGGTCCCTGAAGACCGCACAATAGGGCCTGTTCCATGTCTTCAGAGTGATCGGGGATAACCCCCAAAAAGTCGACGATAGCGCCCCAGTCTTCCAACATTGCAGTCAGATACGGGCCATTGCTGTCGCTAATCCGATGAAGCTCCGAAGAGTCACTTTTTGTAGGTAGTAGTTCTGATCCGGTTGAGAAGACGGCTATTCTCGGCTTGGGCAGCACAGAAAGCTCCGTGATACCGACTGATGCCATCGCCATGACATGGCTCGGATGGATCAGTTCTCCCTCCTTGACAATCGCGTCATCTGTTCGGAAGTCCGTCGCGGCCAGCCGTCGATTCTGGTTGGGCTTGACCGGCTTGGTCACTGCAATGAAGCGACGCCCCCATCGCTCTTCGACTCTTACATCCTCATAGCGAATACAACAATCGAAGTCTTCCTGCTTGACAGTCTTAGGAAATGGGGCTCCTGTCATAATCTCCACACAAGGCGGGATACTTCCATCACGTTCCATCTGCGAGAAGGGTTCATCTCCTGCGGCCGTGATGCCCTGGACTTCGAATGTTTTGGGATAATCCACGGTCGCATCCTGCGTCGCGGCGGAGCTCAATGCGTAGCCATCCATGGCAGACGTGTCAAACCTTGGTGTCGAGATTGGACTATAAATCGTGTGTCGGGCGATGCGACCTCTTGCAGCGAATATCGAGCATATTTCTGCTCGAGACAAGGAGACATTTCGCTTGCGATGTGCTTCGGCCTCGACCAGTCGTATCGCTTCTGTGTAGGACAGGCCCATATTGCTCTCTATACAGTTGAACGGGTGAGTGTTTATTACATTCAGTCTGTTGTTTGCGTAGAATATATGAATTAAAAGAAGTAACAGGAGAACCTGTGATTTGTTGTAACCCTAATTTCATAATTCTGGCGTCATTCATGGTACCTTTTTCCCTTGCGTCATCTACTTAACTTTATTATTTTCCTTGGATTTGTCGCGCGTCTACTGGAGACTATAATTCGTATACATCTTCCTACATAATAATAATGCATAAGTAGTTAACATGGCGGCGTCCACATACGAGTCTCGCGACTCTATCCAGGATGTCTTCGGCGACCGAACACCGTACAAGCATGAGTGGCCGACGCGATTTGATATGCGCGTCTTAGACACGCCGGATAAATGGGTACAAAGTGCATGTGTGCTGTGCAGGTAATTGAAGCCCTTCTTCAATTTTCAATGGTTCATAATTGTCGGACCCATGTTAACGCGACACTTGCAGTAATGGTTGCGGGCTGGATATTGGGGTCAAGGATGGCCGTGTGGTGGGTGTGCGCGGTCGCGCGACCGATCGGGTGAATAAAGGACGTCTGGGTCCGAAGGGTTTGCACGGGTGAGTATTTCGGAAGCCTCTATATAGTCGGTAGAGGAACAAATGGCTCACTTGGGATATTTATAGCTGGGAATCCATCTACCATCCGGATAGACTGAAGCACCCACTCATCCGGCGCAATGGCAAGCTCGAGCGGGCGTCGTGGGACGAAGCGATGTCGCTGATTGTCGACAAGGCGAAGGAGATACGAGGGCGTTTGACCAACCATGGCATTGGGTTCTATACCTCTGGTCAACTGTTCTTGGAGGAATATTATGTCCTAGCGATGATCGGCAAGGCCGGGTTGAATACTCTCCATATGGATGGCAACACCCGTTTGTGTACGGCCACTGCGGCGGCTAGCATGCGCGAGTCCTTTGGTAGTGACGGTCAACCGGGATCTTATGGAGATATTGACTATACCGAATGTCTGTTTATGGTCGGCCATAACGTGGCAAATACACAGACGGTCTTATGGTCTCGAATACTAGATCGCCTCGACGGGGCGTCTCCTCCGAAACTCATCGTGGTTGATCCGCGACGGTCGGAAACGGCGAAGAAAGCTACTATTCACTTGGCACCCAAGATTGGAACTAATGTGGCACTGCTTAATGGTTTACAGCATCTGTTGTTCAAGAATGGCTGGGTTAACGAGGAATTTGTCTCGCAGCACGTGGTGGGATTGCAGCAGCTTGAGGCTGTAGTCAAGGAATACACCCCGGAGTATGTGATGCAAATTACCGGCGTACCTACGACATTGTTAGAAGAGGCAGCTAGGATAATGGGAACTAGCAGTAGCCTGTTATCAACTGCTCTGCAAGGGGTTTATCAATCTAACCAAGCTACGGCAGCTGCCTGTCAGATCAACAATATCAATCTGCTGCTTGGACACATTGGGAAGCCTGGAAGCGGTATCCTCCAGATGAACGGCCAACCCACTGCTCAAAATAACCGGGAGGCCGGATGTGACGGTGAATATCCAGGGTTTCGAAATTTTCAAAACCAGAAGCATATGCAGGAGATCGCGGATCACTGGGACATTGACTTGATTCATATGCCACACTGGAATCAACCCACACATATTCAAAATATGCTGAATTACATCGAGAACGGCTCGATCGAGATGTTTTGGGTATCGGGCACGAATCCACTGGTCAGCCTACCCAATCTACATCGTGTCCGAAACCTGTTTACCAAACCAGACCTCTTCCTTGTCGTACAGGATATCTTCCCTACCGAGACAACAGCTGTGGCAGATGTGGTGCTGCCAGCAGCTCAGTGGGCAGAGAAAACTGGATGTTTCACCAACGCTGACCGAACCATGCATCTCTCGCAGAAGGCCGTCGAGCCACCAGGAGAAGCTAAGGCTGACCTGGACATCTTCTTGGATTTCGGGCGGCGGATGGACTTTAAGAACAAACATGGAGGGCCCCTGATCCCTTATACCACACCGGAAGAAGTCTTCGATGCATGGAAAGGGATGTCATACGGCCGTCCCTGTGACTGCAGCGAGCTCACGTACGAGAAGCTCACCGGCGGATCTGGCATTCAATGGCCTTGTACTACGGAGTATCCGAACGGCAAAGAGCGCCTGTTCACTGATGGCAAATTCTTCACTGATCCAGACTACTGCGAAGACTTCGGGCATGATCTCGAGACTGGAGCGCCATATACTCGAGCACAATATCAAGCCATGAACCCCGCAGGACGAGCCATCCTCAAAGCTGCTCACCACAAGGCGCCCCTTGAAGCCCCTGATGATCAATTTCCCGTGCTACTTTCGACCGGTCGAAACGTTTTTCACTTCCATACACGGACCAAAACAGGAAGGGCCAGGCGGCTCCAGCAAGCCGATCCACAGCCATTTGTTCGCATATCTGAAGTGGATGCGAAAGATCTCTATCTCACGGAGGGAGAAATGGTTGTAGTGAGATCCCGTCGTGGTAGTGTAGAGCTCCCAGTGAGAATTGGTGAGATTAACGAAGGACATGTTTTTATCCCGTTCCACTTTGGTTACTTTGATTCAAAGGACCCGCGAGCGCGAGCCGCAAATGAGCTTACGGTTGGTAAGTAAATCATGGTCTCAATAGAGTCATTATCATGAAGTCTCTTTGCCGCTGACTATATAAGACGAATGGGACCCTGTTTCCAAACAGCCAATGTTTAAGTCTGGTGCGGTTCGAATCGAGAAGTGCATTCAGAAAGAGGGTGGAAAAGAAACTCACTCCAAGGAAGAACAGACTGCAGCCATCAGAAGTGTTGAACAGAAGAAGGGACAAGGAGAGATGTCGGTCGCAAATACGTCCAACAGCCAGGGTAGCGCCGATGAGCGTATCCGACGACTAGAACTTTGGCTGGGTGCCACACACCAGGCTCTGGAAGTCCTCAACGACATTTACAAGGATCTGATTCCGTGCCTAGTACATGACCTGGAGGTATACTCAGGGCTTGAGGTTATGCGTCGAATAAATCTGGACATTCTGCGCAAGCTCAACCCAATAATCTTGAGATACCATGAGAGTCGCCAGTACGGCCGGAAGGTTGCTACAAGCCTTAAAGATAGTCTTTTCCCTAATGTCGAAGAAGGGAGCGACGCATACGAGGCAATGGTCGCATTGCAGGCCCTAGACGTCTTCCTTACATACATTGAAGGGCACCTAACTGCACTTTCGCCGGCAAGTCAGGCGTTGTGGGATGTTGAGTTTGTTGATGCTGTGAAGTTCGCTCAAAATGGCATTCAACGACAAAAAGTGTGGGTCACCCAGCATATCAAGGTCAAAAGCCCCCAGACTTTACTCGTTCCAGTGGCAGCACCGGGCGAACTGCATTCCGATGAGTCGACTTTGTCCGGGTATCTACGCTGCTGAGAAGACTCTTGTAGTCGAAGTGAGTGTTAATTCACCGCACCGAACTGTAGAAATATGCTCCTCTCTCTATGACCATAACGTCGCTTGGATATCGAGATTCGGGACCAGAGAGGACACCGCGCTTGTATACTGTCGAGCGTGCTGCCACTCGGCCAAAATACCTTAGGCATTTGGCCGTGCCTCCAACCGAACAATACGGCCAACATATACCAATCATAGCGATATATTCCATCAGTGGTCCTTCCGCGTTGTACAACTAAGTAGATGGACATACCATATTTCTCACAGAAACGACATCATCTACAGAAACGTTCAATCTTGCGGTGGGAATAATAAAATATAGATATTCATAAGAAGCATGCATATATTTCAGTGCTGGGCGACCGGCAAGATTGGTTTAAAGCAAGGGACAGCAGACTTTATCTGATATTGAGACGTAAGGAGCAAAAGGTCTGAATCTCATACTGATGTCAATGTGTTAGTACTATCTGAGCGCAGACACTGAGCCAGCCACAGTTGTACCCTCGTCGTCTGTTAGGTAGAGTACGGTAATATGATTGGATTCCTCATGAGTGCATCGATTATTATATTTTTGTGTATGACAGGAGACTGGTCATAATACTAGCATACAAGGGATTTAATCTACCCAGTGTCGCATATGATATGACATAACGTATCCAAAAGGGGGATTGGGAAATTAGAGAACAAAAAATGAAATGAGAAGAAAAAAAAAAAGATAAATGTCAGTGAGATAAGAGTCAGAAAGATTACCCACTGACAAGCCCTGGATCAACAATATAAGGGTATCCATGATTGAAATCGTGTCTGCAATAACAACAAATTCCTCGAGGTCATGTTGCAACGCCCATATACTTTTTGTGCAATAATTAAACAGTCGTGTCTGATCCGCTACTATCCGATTCAGTTGTTGTTTCATCCTCCTTCACCACGTACTGTCCACCGCGTCGCAACATTAGTAGGGATGCTGGAATCTGCACAGCTGCAAAGGCAATCATCGCCTGATATTGATGAGTATAGCTCTTCGCAAATACACGCCCGATTGCAGCCTGGAGCTGAGCCGGCAGGGTCCCGACCGTGCTACTGTTTTCTAGCAGTTGCTGCAACTGCTCCGGTGAAAGTGTACCTGCTAGTTCGCTCTTTAAGTTTCCGTACTGGATGTTAGCCGCAATCGCAAGGCCGATTGCACCCCCGAGAAAACGGCATTGGTTAAGGGCGCCCGTAGCTGTTGCTGCGGGGGTGTAAGCATGTTGAAAACGAGCGAAACCAGTGGATTCGGTGACATACCTAGGTCCCGCGTCTCGACAACGTAAGGTACTGCTAGAACACAGATCCCGATAGTGACTCCAATGCCGGTGCCTGCGATAACTTCATATCCATACCCAGCACTGGGAAACGAGTCCGTTTGAGGAAGGATGGAGAAGAGTGCCATCCCTACGGTCTGTAGCACGGAGCCGAAGACGATGAAGTATACGAAGGGGATACGGCCTCGAAGACATGCAAGATTAGAAACAGCGGTGCCCACAGTTGCAAGGGCCGAGTACGGGATTAGCCGGATCCCAGCATCTACAGGCGACAGCTTTTCTAGGACTTGAAAGCGCTGTGCCAAATAGACAATTATCACATTCCAAGGACAGCCGCTAGCGAATGTAATTCTGTGATAGCAGAAGAAGCACCATTAGAATTTGAAATCAAAGGGGAAATCTTACAGCTGCATCGACTCACATGAGCATCCCCATCCAAGCTCGATTGAATAGTAATCGTTTTGGAAATATCGGATGATAACTAGGACGTCCATCGATCACCCATTCCCAGGCAAAGAAAGCCATCCATGATACACCTCCCGCAACGAGTAGCCCAATTGCAGTTCCGGAAGCCCACTCAAATGATAAATTAGTTTCATTCAAAACAGTGATAGGTAGTAGAGAGGCACTGAGTAGTAGAATAGCACCGACGAGATCCAGCTCTCGGAAGAGTGTGATGCTCGGTTTTAAATGGGCGATAGATTTCGATGGCACCGAGCCATGGTTCGCGGGCATGGCGATAATTAGCATTATCACGGCTACTGCTCCAGGTGGGAGGCTATTGCTCCATGTATAATGTTAGTCACGACCCGCACAGCTTTGAAGTGATGATATTATGAACGCACTTCACGTAGAAAACCCATCTCCACTCCGAATTCTGCGCCAGTACGCCGCCAATGAGAGGCCCTGTCAAAGATGCGCATGCAATGGCTATCGACAACAGGCCGCCCAATAAGGGCACCTTCGACTTGGGGACAGTCTCATAGGCGCATAAGATGGTGAGCGGATAAATCCCAGCACCGCCAATTCCTTGGAATGATCGACATATAATGCTGACATGTGTTTAGTACAGGCCAGCCCAGTATCCCCAATGCCTCAAGTAAACCTACAGTGTGTTGACTGACGGGGATAGCCCGCATCCGAGCGAAAATGCCAAGAAGATCACCTCAGCAGCCAGCAAGGTTTTCTTTCTGCCAATGATATCGCTGACCCTGGTCCAGATGGACATGAAACCTGCATCGGAGTTAGCAGAACCAGACAGAGAAAGGAAAAGGGATTTCAGACCAGTGAATGTAATGAGGAACCCAGTAATGATCCAGCTTGTTTTGTTGAAACCATTTAGGTCACTTGTGATAGCGATGAGTGAGGTGCTGACGATAGTCACTTCCAGATTGACCAAGTAAAGGCTGATCATGAGCCTAGGACCAAGATTTGTGTTTAGTCAAATAAGTTTTGTATGATTTAGGGATTGTGAATAAGGCATACCCAAGTATAATCAAGCACAGTCTCCATCCATGTGGAAACAGAATTTGATGCCCGGTAGGCTTGTCAGCCACCACAGTGATATTCTCTTGGCTCTCCATCTCTACAAGCTCTTGTTTAGACATGGTGGTGATTCTACTTGACCTTCCTCACGAAGATTATCTCTAGTACTCGTCTCTTATATGTGATTATAGTACTGTCTGAATTCTACTGTCGTCCAAAATAGGAAGCAGCCTCAGCTAGTATCGTACCCACAAAAGTCCCTCTAGAAGGAGCAAGCATTACTATGCGGCCATTGACGCCTCTTGGCTACTATGCAAGGAACAACGTGCTGATAGTGTGGCACACTCTTGGCATCAAGTCTTACCCTGTATTGTTCTTGCTCGACGTGTCCCTTCTTTCCTCATGTTTAGCCCCATAGTTTCTATCCTCCTTCCCCTTGCGACTTAAGTGGGTAGCCTGTGGGTTGGACATGAAACAATGTGTGCATGGCGCCATGAGTGGTAGAATGCATGAGCTAGTATTGGCAATATATTTAATTCCCTAAGCAGCAACATAGATGTTTAGCTCTGGTTCTGTGGCAAGTGTATAGATTGTCACATTGCATGGCAAGTTATTATGATACGCGGTACATTAGCTGCGGTCCAACTTTGCTGGAATTCGCCTCAGAGTGAAACCTTTCGATTCTCAAGTAATATGGTATGCTTTTCATATGTCGAATAAGCTGATCTGAGGTCATTACGCCGCATAATTTAGGTATGCTGTGGCTAAGGTTTAGGGTACTACGTCAAATACCTGGGCCTGGCGTCACATGACTGAGCCACACCAGTTCGTTTCCCAGGTCCCTTTCTCTTTCTCTGGCTCTCTCCTGCTTGTGTCGATTATGTCAAAGGCTTGAACCTGAAGCTGTAGGTAATAGCTGGTTATACCCAGTTTAGACTTGCATTCTATGCAACTTTTCGGTGTAGGCCAGGATATTGCCTTGTTAGACGTAGAATCCTTCATGATTCGACCTCCAACCAATGCACCGCCGAACCCCCTAGGTTATGCATGATTGGTAGACTGTATATGTGCTGCCCTGACATTGTCCGTGACCGATCGGGAAATAGCCTGTCTGTTGATGTAAGATCTTCATGTGCGATGAGTAGACGGGGTAGTAATTTAACAAGATGTATATATAGTAGCTTGCAGCGAGCTCCAAGTATACATGAGTCTGATAGGATACAGAAGTCTGCAGGCCTGCCATGACGTCGTATGCTCCGTTGAAGAGCGATACTCTATAAATGCTTTGTATCATAATTGATCAATTATCAATCATGTTGAGTCAGGAGCGCCGAGGCTTGGCTTGAGTCACCGCTCGACGATAGAGAGCTTGTAGGAGACAACAGTGGAGGCAACGATCAATGCTATCATAGCTTGGTAATGAATCTTGGATCTCCAGCTGACGAATGAGAGTAATTCTTGGGAGACACTGGAGTTAATCGGGCACCCGATGAGGGTTTGGTGTCGGAGTCCGCGGACCGCGAGCAATCTATTCACTGTCATTTCTTCGTATTGAATGACCACACATTGCAGTGAAGAAATTTCTGCCTAGATTCTTATCCGTTGCTTCTGACCGTGGAACAATATATTCTATACGAGCTAACAGCAGGAAGACACTGAAAAAAACTTCCATCAGTTACAACCCTGTTATTTGCAATACACTAGCCAATTCAATTTTCTATACACCTTGGACATCTGCGGATAAGTTCGGTATCCTACACAGTTTTAGAAGTAATAAAACGCCGGATAATTCAATCCACTATTATACCTATCGTTTTCTGAAAAAGTAACCTGTTTGAATCAATGGAAGGCGGCGAAAGATTGAACCAATAAACTATTGGGCCATTAATTACAATACCCTATTAGTTTCAAAAATAGTACCTGGCATCTTTTCCTGACCGCGATCGAGATTTTGCAATAATAATCTAGTGCGTAGAGACAAAAGTGGAGTTATATGGACCTTCAACCTAATTAATTAGATACCCTCCTATATAAAACCTACACCGTTGGCTCTAGATGTTGTAGATCGCATATCTCGTGAAAATGGTCGCGAGTTCATTACCCATATTACTATCATGACAGCCCAAGGGGACTCTCCAGCGCCAACAATGGATAGGCCATCATCACTTTCATCCGTGCAGGAACAGCAGCCGAAGTCAGACACAGACGAGTCCACCAGTACACCAGAACAGGCGGGTGGACTGAGGAGCTATATTAGGATCTTTTCGTATACCGACACTGTGGGCTGCGTTCTCAATGTCCTCGCCTTGATCGGAGCCATCGGCGCAGGCAGCGCTCTGCCCCTGATGGATGTACTGTTTGGCAAAATGATCACGAACTTCAACAACTTCACGACCGGTGCAAATTCCCCAGATGAGTTTCGATCGACAATGAATAAGTTCACGTATGTGCTATCCAGTAAAGTGGCACGTTCCTAAAGCGAGGTATTGATACCAGTAACCTTCCATAGGCTTTACTTTGTCTATCTCTTTATCGGCAAATTTGTGCTAGTTTATACCTGGACTGTATGTCTCATACCCTCTTCCAAGCTTCGCCCATATTAATAGATTTAATAGTTATCGTTATCTGTCTCCGCTTTGCGAACTACCAAATCCCTACGCATTGCCTTCTTGACACACCTGCTGCGACAAGATATTGGCTTCTTCGATTCCAACGAAAGTGGTTCCTCCGTTGTGCAACTGACGACTAATGCCAACTTAGTTAACCAAGGGATCTCGGAGAAGCTGGGCTTCGCGGTGCAGGGCACGGCGACCTTTGTGGCGGCATTTATTGTAGCCTTCGTCGTGCAGTGGAAATTAACTCTAATTACGATCTGTATTGCCCCGGCCATTCTGATTGTGACCTCCATCTGTGCTGGCATTTTCGTTAAGCAGGAGAACAAAATCCTCCATGTGAACTCCATCGCTGGGACTCTGGCTGAGGAGGTTCTTGCCAGCATGAAGACCGTGCATGCCTTTTCTGCTTTTTCCAAGTTAACGACCAAATATGACGACCACGCCAAGGAAGCGAAGCGTCTGGGTCTCACACAGTCTCTCAACATGGCGATATTATATTCAGCAGAGTTTTTCTGTGTCTATGCCGGATATGGCCTGGCCTTCTGGCAGGGAGTCCGCATGTATGCGAGGGGTGAGATCGATGAGCCGGGAAAAATTATCACGTAGGTGTTTAGAGTGTCTTTTAGCTTCGTTGATACCCTTGGCTGACTGCTGTCCTCTCGGATGCTTTGGTAGTGTGATCTTTGCTGTCATCGTAGCTGCGACAGCAATGACACAGATTGCACCGCAGATTATTCAAGTCACCAAGGCTGCGTCAGCCGCACAAAGTCTGTGGGTGGTAATTGATCGTGAATCTCCAATTGACGGACTGTCCTTGGACGGGGAACGGCCCGGCAAATGTGAGGGGAATATTGAATTCTCAAATGTCTCCTTTGCGTATCCCACCCGGTCCCAGATCACAGTTCTTCATGATTTCACACTGTCAATCCCTGCCAACAGGACAACAGCTTTGGTTGGGCCTAGTGGTTCGGGTAAAAGCACGGTGACTGGATTGCTCGAGAGATGGTACAATACGCAGGATGGCATCATCACACTAGACGGGGTGGACATCAAACAACTCAATATCCAATGGCTGAGGACTAACATTCGCATTGTTCAACAGGTTCGAAACAGTCTTCTACGCTCCCATCTTCTTATGTCTCATCATCTGACGCTTATTTAGGAACCCACACTCTTCAATGCCACGATCTTTGAAAATGTGGCATACGGCCTAGCAGGAACGGACTATGCCAACACCTCAAAGCAGGATCAGATTGAGCGAGTCATTACAGCCTGCAAGGCTGCGTACGCCCATGACTTCATCGAGACCTTACCCGAAGTATGTTTGACTTCAATCGAGGTTCCGCATTGCCTACACAACTACTGACGACCTCTGTAGAAGTACGACACTCAGGTCGGGGAGCGGGCCACAATGTTGTCCGGAGGCCAGAAGCAACGTATTGCCATTGCTCGAAGTATCGTTTCTGATCCTAAGGTGTTGATCCTCGACGAGGCTACAAGTGCATTAGATCCACAGGCTGAAAAGATCGTGCAAGAGGCCTTAGACAACGTTTCTGCATCACGAACGACTATCACAATCGCACATAAGCTCTCCACGATCAAAAAGGCAGACCAAATTGTGGTCCTTTCGCAAGGGAAGATCGTTGAGAAGGGAGCCCATGACGAGCTCCAGGCCGCAGGCGGAACTTACCATCGCCTCATCAAGGCACAGGACCTTGGTACGGTTGTCAACGATGGAACCCAGCCCGAGAAGGAAAGGAATGAGAAAAGCAATGGTATCAACCAGGTCCTTTCTGGACCACAAGACTATAACAAAGAAGCCAAGCTTGTGGAAAGATTAAAGGCTCCGTCTGGACATGGCCGTAGTCTGATTCGATGTCTGGCTGTACTGCTCCGGGAGCGCCGCGACCTATGGTTTGAATTCATTGTCACATTTGTTACCTGCGTCGTGGGAGGTACGCGTATGCCTATCCTGCGGTGTGTTCCTCATTCTAATGATGAATCTAGGAGCGACATACCCGGTACTCGCGTTTATATTCGCGAGGGTGTTAGATGTCTTCCAAATACAATCCACAAGCAAGATGGTGGAAAAGGGTGATTTCTATGCCCTCATGTTTTTTGTCGTTGCTCTTGTCATTTTAGTTGTTTATGGGGTTCTGGGCTGGGTTACAAATGTGATAGCCAATGTGAGTGTCACCGAAATGTCATGGTCATTACCTCTTCTTACCACCAGGCAGTGCGTTGTGTATACGTACCGTCTCGAGATGTTCCGCAATTATATCCGACAAGATATGACCTTTTATGACCAGCCCCAACATACAACTGGCTCCTTGGTCTCTGAACTCGCCGCGAAACCTACTAGCTTGCAAGAGCTGCTTGGGGTCAACATCGGAATCGTCATCATTGCCCTAGTGAATATCATCGCCAGTTCTATCCTTTCCATAGCTGTTGGCTGGAAACTGGGGTTGGCGGTACTCGCAGGGGCCATGATCCCAATGGTATTCTGTGGCTACCTAAGAATTCGCCTGGAGTTCCGACTAGACGATGCCACCTCGCATCGATTTTCTGAAAGTGCAGCACTGGCTGGTGAGGCGATGTCTGCGATTCGCACTGTTGCATCGTTGGCCATCGAACGAGTGATCTTAGAGAAGTACACTGCCAAGTTGGCGGGCATTGAGCGAAAGTCCATTAAGTCGTTAACCTGGACGATGTTCTGGCTATCCCTCACACAGTCCCTCTCATTGCTCTCTATGGCATTGAGCTTCTGGTATGTATCTCCATTACTGTAATGTTCCCTTCCCGACATCTAACTCTGCCGTAGGTATGGAGGTCGCTTGTTATCAACAGGAGAGTACTCGAGTACACGATTATACATTGTTGTCATTGGGGCTATACTTTCTGGTGAAGCTGCGGCGTCATTCTTCATGTTCAGCACCAGTAGGTTTCCTAAGGGCAATTTTCCCTGCTTCCACTGACAATCAGTAGGCTTTACCAAATCACAGGGCGCATGTAACTATATCTTCTGGCTCCGTTCTCTGCAACCTGATGTTCAAGATGGCTCGTCCGACAATGCGCCCGGAGAATCAAAGGATATGGCTGCCCATGTGGTGTTACAGGACGTCGTATTCCGGTACCCTACACGGCCTACTCGGCCGGTGTTAAACGATATCAATGTTGAGGTGAGGCTCAACTTTGGCGCGAACGCTCCGGATGATAGTATGCTGATGGGATTTATTAGATAAACCCTGGCCAATTCGTGGCCTTTGTCGGACCCTCCGGCCATGGAAAATCCAGTCTCATCTCGCTGTTGGAGCGATATTATAATCCAACATCTGGAAGCATCCAACTGGATGGTTCAGATATCCGCGACATGTCGCTCGCTTCATACCGCAGTCATTTATCTCTTGTCCAACAAGAACCGATCCTCTACCAAGGAACAATCCGTGAAAATATCGCATTAGGCCTTGAGGAAGAGGCGACCGAGGAACGGATCTACGAGGCCTGTCGCCAGGCAAATATTTTTGACTTCGTTTCCTCCCTGCCAGATGGATTAGCGACGCCATGTGGTTCGCGAGGAAGTCTTTTCTCCGGTGGTCAGCGGCAGCGTATTGCAATCGCAAGGGCTCTTATCCGCCGACCCCGTTTGCTGTTGTTGGATGAGGCTACGTCTGCGTTGGATACCGAGAGTGAGAGGATTGTGCAAGAGGCCTTGGATCAGGCCAAAGATGGTCGGACGACGATTGCGATCGCACACCGCTTGTCAACTATCAAGCATTCGGATCGAATCTTCGTGCTGGTCGGGGGTCGTGTGCGTGAGCAAGGGACTCACGAGGAGCTGCTCCAGCGGCGAGGGATCTACTATGAGATGTGTCTAGGGCAGGCCTTGGACAAAGCAACCTAATACTGTCCGTGATTGAAGGGCATATTGTATATATGATCGGTGTGAAACATACCGAAAGCTGGAGTTCCACTCAGCTCATGTAATGGTAATATAAAGTAATCTCCTATCTCGAATGTGCCATTGTTAAACAACGAACTCTTTACCCCACTATGGTATCTACTGAGACTTTCGCCCCAAGAGTGAATGCACGGTGATATATTCATGTTCATCATGCCCTGTATGCCCCGTAAGGATGGACATGTTGGAAGCGTCAAGCGTTTTGCAAGTCATTTGATGTCATCACCATTTCTTCTTCGATTTATTTTTTTAGATTCTTTGTCTGTTAAAGGATATCTGTGAAGCAATGGGAACCTTTGTATGAGCTTGTCTCTACGAAGCCTCTCAACTCTTACCGGTAGATTGTACATTGTCGATTCAATCAATGGCTGTTCATTTCTCTCGCTCGCGTAGTTTTGTACGCACGTGTTTACCTTTGCAACAAAAGGCCTTGTATTGATTCAATTGTCCTTGATCTTCAAGACATACTTGAGCGCACTGGCCTTTCCCTCCTTGAGGTTGGTCAATGCTATCTGAACACCCTGAAGACCACCAGGGATGAGCTCATGCGGATGAGGCGTGAGCCAGCCTTCTCTAAGCCCAAGAGTGAAGAACCTCGACCAGATGTAAGCGAATTCCTTCTCATCCCTGTGGGCCCTCCCAACATCAGTGAATTCCACCCGAATATTCTCAGGACATTCCTCCGGTCCCACCGGGCTGACAACAGACATGGCGCCGCCGTCAGGCCCCAGAACCTGACTGACAACACTGAAACTATCCTTCTCACTGACGGCATCCAGAGCATAACGAAGCTGCTTTGTGGCTTTCCGAATAGCAGCGATCACGGCAGATTCACCTTCGCGATAGTCAATAACCACGTCACCCTTGCTCTCGTCCAGGTGACTGCGAACGAAATCTTTTCCTCGTCCGGCTACACAAATAATCGGATGGATATCGGCTTTCTGTAGCAGCTTGATAGCGAACATTCCCACAGCACTTGCAGCACCGTAAATCAGGACTCCACCCTCTGGCTTCTGAGACCATGTCTTTTCTTTGAACCACGGTTCCGGCAACCCCAGCCGAGAGAAGAGTGCCAATGACGCGGTCATAGCAGCCAGGGGGACTGTTGCGGCTTGCTCAAAGGAAATACTATCGGGGATGTGGAACGTGGCGTAATCTTCGCCGATGGCATATTCAGCATAGCTGCCATGTGGAGACGTATAGTCGTGATAAGCTGCGACTCGGTCTCCCACTTGGAATCCCGAGACACCGTCGCCGATCTCATGAACATATCCAGCGATATCATCTCCCGTATTGGCGCCATTGAAGTTTTCCATCCATGCTGGGAATTTCCAATCTTTAGGATTGGTGCCAGTCGCGACAACTTGGATAAGTATCTGACCGGCTCGGGGCTTGGGAATGGGCACCTGATGAACACGGACATCCACCGTGTCATTTCGGATAAACACTTGTGCTTCCTCCATTTTGATAATCAAATGTTACCGCTGGGCCGTATGCTGACTAGCTAGGGCGTATAGATGGATGTGCCTCGTAACTGTTTTCTCTTATATGACGGACGTATGTACCGTAATAATCTGATTTACGAATTATTGTTAAGCTAAATAACTAGAGTTTGTAAGCGACAAAAGACCCCGGACTATTGTGCTTATGGTAGGATGAATCGATGTTTCCAGATTCATCCACCTCGTTTAGACGCCGCAGAAGAGGAAGAATCGTTCGCTAAGGGTGGATTTGCCGTTCGATCTCGACCTGCATTACCTAACTTTTCAATGTTCTCCACACCGTCTAAAGATAATAATTGGAGAAGAAGTCGCCGACTTGGCGAACCAGAATGTCTCCCAGGCGGGGATGATCCACTACCGGTCACCTCGGCTATTTTGCTTGACGGGCGAGGTTGGAAGCACCGAGTCACTACGGGTTCTCTATGGATGCATACCTCTGGCGAAAGGGCGGGTCTCGCGGGGAAGCGTGACATAGGATCTGAAGGCAGATCGTGTTTCTGATGTTCGATGTAAAAATGTTCTACTCTTGAAAAAAGAATATTGTGGTTCAAGAGGCGTGTCTATATGAACGACGTTCGGGCGCTTCGGCGCCTGATGTCGGTTGTGGCTATAGTATACTTGTATAGTAGGGCCATTTTAAAGTTAATACAGCGAAGAATAGTGAATGTAGGAGTTATTGGAGAGTACGAGGTAATTGTTCGCTTCAGGGTGATATACTGTACAATATACTCTTAGAACTAAGAAGGATTGTCGTATGTCAATCCACTGCGCTACCCCGAACTATCGGGCAAATCATCTAGGACTAGATAACTCTATCATAATCGCCATTCGAACAGGGATACAAAATGACAATTACGCCTAGATTAATAGGCTCTACCTGAGCAAATCAATTGCATTAGCTGGAATTGAGGAACTTGCAATTTATGAGAGATTGAAATGCGACTATCTAGACGAATTATCCATACAGAAGCCCTAAGCCATTCAGCAGTTTCGTATCTTTGATCATCATAGGACTATCGTACTCCTCAGTATTCCTATAGAAGAACTTGATCCAACGACCAGAAATGTTGCTGTGGTTCTACAAGACTTGCTTCAGATACTCCTGTAATTCCTCCAGGATTTGCGTTTCGATAGTAGTAGAAGCCCAGCATATATCAACCGCATACCTTTGAAGCGCTAAAGATCATCATCGGCAAACTGACATAGTTCACACAGCATGTAGAGAGTATTTTTCAACCGGATGTCTTCCATACAAGCCGGGTCGTCACTTCCGATCACAATCTTTATACCCGCGTCGTGGATAACACCCATACGTTCCGGAATCCGACTCTCGCCAATGTAGCATAAGTAGCCCCATAGGCGAATTGTCAGTCCCAGGCCCTTCTGCTTCACCCTTAGCGAGAAGAAAAAGGTCATCCGCAACATGTAGACCGTGGTCAATCCGGCCTGCTCCCGTCTCACCCAGCTGGTCAACTGCCTGAGCAACGTGGCGTAAGGAATGCTTTGCACCAAAGTCGCAGTGACAGGTGATCTTCAAATGATTGTCTCTCGCTCGTTCAAATACATCTTCGAACAAGAGAGACGGGCGACCTCTTTCCAGGAATTCGAGACCAATCCCCACGATCATGTCACGAAAGGGAAGAGCGTCGATGTGATGCGACATTGCAGATTCCGGGGACATGTCTCGTAGAAAACACATGATCCATTGGAATTGAACCTGTTCCTATACGTTAGCCTACCCAAATGTTTAAAGATGCTAGCCTCGACACATGCATTCAAGTTTTACGCTGCCTCCAGCTGAGCCCGCCGAAAGCCTTTCATCACGGCGTCTAGAGAAACGCCCCTCAGAGTGTGGCCCTGGTGGTCAAAGAAAGGCTCACAATACCGAATATTTATCTCGACTGCGCGTTGGAAATAGTTCAGCGCAAGGTAGCAAAAGTATTCTTCTTCGCGAAAAACGTCGAAGCCACCACAGTAAAGCTGGAAAAATCGATGCGTTCCTCCCTCAACGTCCCCCTCTTACAAACCATGGAGCAGGTTATACAAGCCTTCCACTTCTGCTAAGACATGGCAGGGCTTCCCCGTTCCAGGCTTTGGTATGGGCGTTCTATATCGCACTGCGAGCGATTATCGAAACTCTGGTGTCATGGTCCCTTCGATGTGGACGTGCATTTCAGCTTTGGGAATCTTTTGGATGAACTCATCGTCATGGTCTCGGATCAAGTCCCGATATTCACGGATAGTCACGTTTGACAGGAATGGTTTAAATAAAGTCATATTGGTATCTTCGCATTAAGCTATGTCTTGCTTGGTGAAAAGGAAGTGGTGGTTGTGACCTGAATGTGAGGAATTTGCTGCCACTTGGTCATGGACGACCGGGGATGATATGCTTAGCTTGTCCCGCACAAGCTGCATGTTTTTATCAAACAGGTACATGTAGTAATGATTCATGATATGACATGCATCACCCAGCCCGAGGGAGTCTCGGACTCTATATGATTAGTTCTTCGGTGGGATAACCAGTTCCTGCAGCCTTTGGATCATTGCAAAGGACTAGAGATTCATATCACAAGAAGGATATGCAAATATGCATCAACGATGACGGTATATATGAGATCGTAGAAAAACATCGTATGTCTGTGGCTCCTATTCCCTAATAAGTGAGAACCAGGGCTGGGCATATTGAATGATATTGAAGCATAGAGACTCGGCTCATAATGTGTACATATTGCATATAGCAGTGGACTATCATAGTACGGAAGATCTTGATTCAGGCTTCCTGTTTAATTATGTATGAATTTAGAATGTGGTTCTGGATAGTTAACAGTTTGTGGCGTGACATAATTACTCTTTCTCCTCATGAACCCATCCCAGAATTCTCTTTGCCTTCTCTGTTGTGAAGAACGACTGATTACTCGACAGGTCACCACGAATCTCCGCATCTGGATAATACTTCTTCGCAAGCTCCTGGGATGGCGTATCTTGAGTCGTTGTCGGTGCCACAATATTGAAAACCTCGCATCCGTTCAACTTGTCACTCTTTTCTACTGCCAACAAGCATGCTCTCGCCGTCGCCTGAGCACTAACCCACCCCCACAAACTCTTCACTGCGGAGCTATCCCAGTTCTCTGCGTGTCCTTTTTGCGTCTCTGAACGCGATGCGACCGCATGAATGCGCATACACGCGATGTTCATCCCGGGGTACCAACGCGCGAAGGCCTTCCCCTGCATCTCTGCCTCGTCTTTCGCTAGGGCATATGCGTCTGTCGGCCGTTCCGGTGCCTCTTCATCGATGGGGAAGTAGTCGAATTTCAACGGTCGGCTGGCATATTCGAGGCCGATAGCATTCACCGACGAAGCATAGCAGAACTTCTTGATGTCGAGCTCTGCGGCAGCTCGAAACCCGTTGAATGCCGAGTTCACATTGTTATTGTGTACCAGATCATCGCCTTTGTCCAAAGGGTTCGGAATGGCAGCTAGATGGATGACGGCGTCGCAGCCGCGGAAGGCCTCGAGCGTTGCCTTGTAGTCATTCGCAGTGTCCGCGGTTCTCATCTCTGAATTCGGTGTCCCGTCATATTCAGTGTCAGTCCGATCGACCTGGACCGTTGCATGACCAGCTTCCGATGCAGCCTTCACTACGGCCCGTCCAACAGTGCCGCGAGCACCGGTAATTGCGATCTTCATGGTGAGGTGTGTTCGGGTGGATAGGTTTCTGGAGTATAGCTGGGGAGCTTGACGCGAAATGATGTTAGCAAGAGAACGAAATGACATGCTCGTATATATCTATGAGTTTTATGATGCTGACCTTGTCTTCGGCCAGTGACTTCGCCTGTTCCTTATCCAGTTCCATGACGTGGATATGATGATGCTGCCCAGGGCAGTCGATGTGCCATGACGCTAGCATGACGATCTGCACCCTCTCGGTTAAATTCTCAGCTCATCATGTTGCTGTAAGTGCTCTATATACAGGAGAAATGACTTAGGAAGCAAAATTCCAGATCATTGTGTTAAAAGAATGACCTGTAGACTGTTCTTTCAGAAAGGTTGAGCAGATGACATCAGGGTTCGTGGTCGATAAGGGTTGCAGCCCTTATCTAGGCCGCTCTCGGATCAACTCTTGCTCCTGTCGTTGCCCTATCAAGAAAATGCTGTCTGCATCTCGGTATTCTGAATTCTTGTTTGATACTACGGGATATAGTAAGGAAAATCCAAAGATAAAAGTAGAATTCTCTGAGTCCAGTGGCTAACAATGTTGCTCCGTTTGCGACCAACTCACACCAAGCCAATGAATGGCGGCCACGCGGGACGTCTATTTCAGCCGTCAGACCACGGAGTACTACGTAGGGTCCAGCTGTTGGCGTAGTGCGGGCTAAACAGTATGAAATTATAAGCACGGACAGTGATAAAAGCCGAATTTCACGAAGGATCAAGGTCGCATAGGGAGGGAAAGTTTAGACCAGGAGGGGAATACGAAGTAGCCGTTTGATTGAGGCTTGCTCTCCCGACACACCATAGGCATTGCTCATGGCATCAACTTATCCCCGAGACGTGGTTGGCTGGAAAGCTCCAAAAATACCCGGACGTCCTGCTCGTACCTTATCGCGAGATCACTCAGCATTCGGTAAGACTCCAGTGGCCAGTTCACCAATGGGGCAGCCTCGTGATGCTTTTATCGACTCCGGGCCCTGCCAAGACAGCACTAGTGGCGCTCCCTACAGCAAAGAGCCCTAAACAACGATACTACTTGTCTGCTGGAAGACTCTGCGCTCTATCGGGTTCAATGGGCAGTCTCTGAAACTAGCCCAATCCCACTTCTGAGACCATGGTTGTAATGCCCAAGGAATGCTGTCATCAGAAACCTCGCCATCCCAGACACACCTTTGTTTCTCTCCAGTCCATTCTATATTTAGTCAATTTACTGTGTAGAACCTCAGCCATTGTATTTCTCGTACGTCCATGTACAATTATAGTAACGTTGTCGGTGGATCTTTCGAAGCTTTTCCCTTTTCCCTGGCAGGCCGATCGCCCCCGTCAATATACCATTATATAGATTTCCCAAGGGTTTTGAGACATAGTGATTCACTCATCCCGCTATTTAAATATACCCTCTTCCTGTTTATCCTCTTTCCTTCCTCTCTTCTTCTTTACTACACTCGTTCAACTTTAGATTCCCTCGTTTAAACATACTTAATACTTTTATCCTTTCGGATTCATAATCAGCCACCATGCGTCTCTCTTACGCCGTCTCTCTCTTGCCTCTGGCTGCTTCCGTTGGAGGTTTGTCTTGCAGAAAATAATGTGACATATGGACACTTGAACTGACCCCAGCTAGCTCTCCAGGTCACTTCCCCCAAGAAGGGTGAGGATGTTGACCTCTCCAAATCCTTCACTGTGAAGTGGGATGCCGTCGAGTATGTCCATGTTTCATTTCGTTATCAACCGCAGTAGCTACTACAGTGCATACTAACAGACGCACCAGCACCGACCCCTCTTCTTTCGATCTCTACATTGTCAACAACGCTGTCTACCCCAGCGTTGAGCAGAAGATCGCCTCCGACGTTGACTCCTCCAAGGGCTCCTACGATGTCTCTGGCCTGTCTGACCTGACCAACGGGTATAGTTCCTTTCCCGACCGAGATTTCATGTGCCAGAATCCACTAACAATTGGGTACAGCAAGGGCTACCAGATCAACTTCCTCTCCAACTCCGCTAAGAACAGCGGTATCCTCGCTCAGTCCCAGCAGTTCAACGTCGAGGGCTCTTCTGAGTCCACCTCGACCGCCACCGCCAGCGAGTCCAAGACCACCACCTCCGCTACTGGCACTTCCACCGCTACTACTGGTACTGCCTCCTCCACTAAGACTTCCTCCTCTGAGACCACTGAGACTGCCTCCTCCTCTTCCACTGGCCTCACTACCATTACCTCCACCGGCACCCAGACTTCGACCGGTGTGAGCACTAACACTCTGTCGACGACAGTTTCCTCCTCCGCCCGTGCCTCTGCTTCGGCCAGCGGTTCCGCCAACAGCACCTCTTCTGGCAGCACCCCCGTCTCTACCGGTGCCGGTGTCTCTCTCGCCGCGCCCGTCTCCGCCGCCGCCGGCCTCCTGATGGGTGTCTTGGCTCTCAACCTGTAAATTCGGTGAACCAGCCAACGACAAGAACCAGCCGGATCACAGCGATGTGAAGGAATGCGAATATGGGAGATAGTACGCTACATACGAATAAATTCGGAATGTCAGGGTTACTTCAATACATGATGTAATGGGCCGTTAGGGGAGGCGGTTGATAGGGAACGGAACTATAGAATGTATATTTTATTCATTTCGATTAATAGCATCCTGTCTATAGAATGCTGCCTACTGTTTGTCAATCCTTTAAACAATAGTGAAATGCAAGGGTACATAGAAAAAAAATTCATTATAGGCAGGAATGGTACACTGTAGCCACGCTTTTCCCAAGCTTCCGCTGATCATCTTCTCGGCGAACTGCCGGATTGACTGTTGATCTACCGTTCTCTTGTGGGTCGGTAGCTACATGGTTGTGATTTTATCGCCACTGGGCTATTTGAGGTCTACAAACAAATGTACGATGAATAACTATATTCATATTTTGTTCGATTGGAATGATAACAAGTAGGGTTGCATCACTGGGACAAACAAGAATACCCTTGTTGCATAACGCCGCCACAACGGCGATGGCAGATGGGATGGGTAACAATTCGAACCCTAAGTCCCCACTACAACGACCCCAGTCCGAGGACCCTTGCCTTACCTTGACATTTCCAGTAGTCGACCGAGCGAATGGATGATCCGTCAATATTACTCGGATAGTCAATGACGTAGGGGATTCTGATTATTCAATAAAAATACCGATATAGCCGACGGCAAGTCGAATCCGAGACAAGTGACTCGTCTAAAAGAATAGTCAAAAGATACATTTCTATTACCCAAAAAAAAGCCGAGCAAAGTAAGACCAATGTCTCAATAGTGTTTCCATAAGTACTCCATATTGGAGGACTCCATTAGTCTGATCGCAAGAAAGCGAAGGAGTCAAAGGGAAAAAAAAAAAAATAAAATAAAAT